CAAATATGATAGGAAGATGTGAGCTACAGGGTGACAAAATGCTTCTTGCCTCTAAGAACAATTCATAGGGAAAACCTCTTTAGTATATCAGTTAATAAGTTCTTTTCTAATTTACAAGCACATAAGACTGTCAAAATATCAGTTCACGAGTTCTGAATCGATAACTAAAAGTAATAATCATATGTACTATAAATAAATTTCAATTCAACATTTGCAAATATAAAATTTGAACTCCAAATTGTAGGTTATACATATGAAGCAAATGTTTAGCTACTTCTAATCGTATATAAAGTTACCTTCTCCTTCCTTAGCTTTATCATAAACATATTTAGCAAGCTTTGGAATTACTTCTGTGTCTGTTTCAGATTCAAAGGTGAATCCGTGCCGAACTAGTGATTGCTTTAAGGCCTGAAAAAGTGAACAAGAAGGTAAATCAGCATAAGCCATTGATGACAGAGGCTGTTTAATCTAGAAGCCAAAACAACAATCAAGAGACACGTAACAAGTTTCACTGCAGAAATCTTAAACAAACCTCATAATTAGTGATGACTCCATTGTGAACAACCAAAAATTCATTTCCAGAACCAGAGCTCTGTGGATGGCTGTTCCTTGGAGCTGGCTCTCCATGAGTGGCCCACCGGGTGTGCGCTATTCCAGCATGGTGAGAGAAAGAATCTTCCAAATTTAAATCTGTTTCAGCAACCTCTGGATTTACAAAACCAACGTTAACTTTTGATTAGTTTCTTAGTAGTGAGAACTTTGCAAAACCCCAAAACTTGAATTCAAACTCCTATTACCCATATTTATTTATGGTTTCTAGGGCAATATAATTCGTAGTCCCCATAAGGTTTGTCCGAGGACGAAGTGAGGTTGCATAATGTAATAAATGCATAAGAAGGAAAATGTCAAAGAGACCGATGTTAAAGAAACTACTGCTTGCATTATCATTCTGTAGGTAAGCTTGAGCTGCCATTGTCTGCTCTATAAACCCCACCCACTAACAACTTAACCAATCAAAACTTCATCGAACAATGATCACTATTACTGGGTTAACCCGCCAAATTAAACCTGACCACTTTAACTGGGTCAATTTTTGTTCAAAAAGAGTTTACCGCTAATTTTCTACACCATTTTCTCGGCAACCAAACAGAATGTACAAAAATATTATCCCGATTAACAACTTAACAATCAAAACGTCATCGGAAAGCAATGAAGCAAAGAAATTCAACCTACGATCATTCTCACTGGTTGACCCGCCAAATTAACCCGGACCACTTTTCTGGGTCAATTTTCGTTCCGAACAAAGTTTCCAGTTAATTTTCTCCGCCAATTTCCCGGCAACCAAACAGAAAGTAGAAAGAAACAAATAAGGAACAAGAATAGAAAGATTGAGAATGAAAGGAGTTACCTTGGTATACGGATTTGACGAGGGTCTCGATGTTTCCCTCCTGACGGAAAACGAGCGGGTGAGGCGGGGAAGATTGGGGGGTGTTTGGATCGAAGGAATAAGAATTATCGATGGAAATCCCGGCGGAATCGTATCCCCGGTATTCCAAACGCCTCAGGCCATTGAAAAGCACCTGAAGAATGTAGCGCCTCTCCCTGTTAACGTTGTAATTCAGATACGCAAATATTCCACACATTTCTGATTTCTCTCTCTTCCTCTTCCCCTTCTTCTCCTTCTTCTGCGACTTGTTCTGGGTTTTAGGGAGAGAAAGAGAAGAGGATGGATTAAGAAAAGTTTACCTGTCAAATTTGACCCTTGACTTTCTTTTGGGATTTGAATTTTCAACTTTATTGTGTTTGTGTGTTTGGGATCTGTAAAATGGACTGACAAATCTTCTCTTTTTGACAAATCTTCTCTTTTTAATTTATTTATGGTAAGTTAGCGAGAAATAAGAAGCTTCCACAAATTTTACTATCTTTTAAATGAAAGTTGGAGACTTCCATGATAAGGATTTTCTTGGGTAGATTGTAATAAGGATTTTAAGTAAACGATTGATAGATTTTTTTAGTGTATCAGGAACACGGTTTGGCAAACAAATGGAAGCTTCAAAAAAATTATCATTCTCCCCATTAACACTTGGCGTACCAAATCATATTCCCGGTACACAAAAATCTCTCCACCTTTTACCTAAAATCCTTATTATAATGCAGTTTCTTCATTCAAATTTCCACTGCAATTTCAAAGAAAATCCTTATAATATAAACACCGTATGCTATTTCTAAGAAGGCACATTATGGACCTGCTTACATTTCTTCATTCAAATTTCCACTGCAATTTCAAAGAAAACGTCACATGGATACATACAAGTAGAATAATCAGCCCGGCGGATGTTTTTCTTTACGTTATAAACAGCTCATGGAGAAAATCTAAAGGGTTTTAGCTCGATCTAACAGCGTCTATAGCAACAACTAAATCATCAAATTTGGCCCCCGTCACTTCTTTTACAACCTTGTTGTCCTTCAAGATCTTGAAAGTTGGCACCACCCTTATCCCAAGCTCCTTCGCCAATGGCTGCTAACAAGAAAGAATCACCATTTTAAACGTAAGACATAGCACAGCGACGCAGTTGAGGAAAACAAATTCAACCATGACAGATAGAACCAACCTTATTTTCTTGGCTACAGTCAAGCTTTAAAAATACGACATCGAGGTACTCCTTGGACAATTCTTGAAATTTTGGAGCAATCACTTTGCAAGGACCGCACCTGCACAGAACAATGGAGTAAGTAATCTTAAATGCGTATTTAGGTGCACGCTGTACTCTTGGTTCTCTTCGCGTGAAAGGCTTGTGCTTGTAGCCTTGCACTGTATTAGATGCAGATAACGTCGCCGTGAACTGATATCATGCATAAAGTTGACAGGGGAAGGATCAGTGCTCTTTTAAGTCATCTAATTCGAATAGTCATAATGACGGGACTGGCGGCAAATAAGAAAAAAATCAACAAACAGGTAGCCCAATTAACCAAGAAGATGGCCGGGATCGGTACAAGAATCGTCACTGGTTACAATAGTTCATTTCCAAGGGCTTCTCTAATCCAAACAACCTACCTGACCTAGCAAAATAGGATTATATTCAAATCACGCGTACATGGGAATGATATCTTACATAAGCAACTTAGAGCAGCACCATACGATTCCAGTTTCCACACAAAAACTTGTCGCGATTAAAGTCCGCAAACTCAAACAACATTTTTGCTTTTACGTGACATTTTTTGCACAAAAATAACTTTCTGAAACCAAACCTTGAACTGAAATCAACATTCTGAAATTCCGCTAAAGAAAAATCCTAAACTTTCAAATTCCACTTCCAATTGGTTTGTACTGATAAATTCGCCAAATTTGTCTGAACTTAGCCTAAACATACTTAAATATTCTTGCTTTCTTACTTTTCGTTTCCTTTCTTTTGAATTTATGCTTGGATTTTCTCGGAGACCAATCACAAAGTTGAAGTATAAGCATAAAAAGACATACCATTGGGTATACATATCAAGGACGACGGTCTTGTCGCCGGCTGCCTTGACGATGGGCCAGAAGGTGTCCTTGTCGACCTCCGTGACTTGGCCCACATTCACAGTGGGACCCACAGTGTCCAAGTTCGACCTCACCGTACACTTCCAGGAACCCCTCTTCTTCTTACTCAATCCAATTCCCACCGCCGCACTCTTCCTCTGCGAAAGGAAGCAGCTTCTGCTGGAGCTCGGACTGGGAGCAGAAGAGGAGGAGCAAATGATCGGGTACTTGGCGGCGCATGGTAGAGATGTGGATGCGCCGGCGGAGCGAGGAGAGAGTGCGGCTGACTGCAGAGCCATTTTCTGTGATGGAGAAGAGAGGAGAGCCCAGTGAATCAGTTGCAGCCAGATACTAACAAACGACTATATTACAGAGGAGAGCGATGAATTTGGAATGACTGATTTGCCCTCCGTGTTCGTGGGATCTTATGAGATATCCGCTTTCATTTTCGTCACTTCACCCAACTTTTTGTGTGGATGAAGGCATGGCGATCGTGAGACTGGAATGACCGCATTGCCCTCTGACGTTTTGGACTGTTTGTGGGAAGTTGGGGGTATTTTCGTCGCTTAGAATAGTTTGTTCAAGCAAAATGACTGAATGCCACCTTTGGCTTCCGGTTTGATGTGGGAAATCTCAGGGTATTTCGGTCAATGTAAGAGTTCAAATTTTGTGGGTTGTTTTAGCGGACTGTAGCGATAGAATGAGTGGTGTGGAGGGAGAGATTTTTTAATGTGATCGTTGCAAGAGATGGTACATCATGTGTTACTACACGAATGATGGGATATGTATGCTAAAAGGTTAATAACTTAAAAAATAAAATTTTTCACCACTTCTATTAAAACATGTGATATACCACTTGTATTCCTGTCATAGTGAAAAAGTTCTAAGAAGACGGTGGGGGAGGTTGAAGTGATGGGGATGAAATGATGGTGTCATATATATGGGATATTTATTTTGTAAGGAGAAACTTAGTGGTGTCAAAGTCATTTGGTTGATCATTTTTCAAGTTGTATGCTTTGCCTTGTCGACATAAATGGAAAAGAAAATAGTTTCCGGCACAACTTAATTTTACTTTATGTTATATCTCTTGATTCTTTTTATATTTATTTAGCCTAAAAATCAAAAAATAAACACGGATGTGCATGAGAAAAAAATTGTATGTAAAAATGACTTCCCATAAGAATAAAAATAAAACTAGTTCTCAAATTCGAATTTACTTTGTAAAACTTTAAACACTAATTGGTTTAAGAAATGAGAAATTTGACGGCTTTCAAGCAACTACAGATCGTTGTCATTTAGCACATTTGGCGGGTAATAGTAAGAATATACGAGCTAGGCATGTGCGTGAATCATCCAAGCATGGCATAAGCTGATAAGCAGAGTGGTCGGGATCATGGGTTGCGTCGTGCGGTTGACTATCTTCATTACTCATAAGAATGAATTTTTAGGTTACAATTTAGAGAGAGAGAGAGAGAGAGAGAGAGAGAGAGAGAGAGAGAGAGAGGAGGAGGGCCTGAAGCCAATGATTTAGGGTTTCCCTCCAAATTGCAAAACCAAAACCGAAGAAAATCCAGAATAAACAGGAAACAGAAATCCCCGTAATTAAAGATAAACTAAAAGAAAAACATTAAACACAAAACAAACAACATACCAGAAAATCGACAACGAAACCAAAATACCAAATGTGAAAAGACGTCAAAAAAAGTAAGACACCGACAAAGGTCGACGTTGTTTACTATTTTGGAAAGACGTGTCCTTCGCCGTTGAAACCCCCAACAATCTCGTTGCTCCTCTCTCTCTCTCTCTCTCTCTCTCTGTTTTTCTTTGCTGTATAATCCCGCTGTTTATACAGCATATGCTTTTTCTCCCTCTCGCTCTCCCCACAGGGCCACCAACCTTGTTGCCTGCTCGTTTTCTCCACCCAACTCGGCCATGATTTTCCCACAAAACCCACATTTCTAATCCAAGTTATTAGCAATTATTCCAAAAACTCGGGTTTTGTCTGGACAAGGGTGGCTGTTGTCTGTCGGGTCCGATCCAAACAATTTTTTTTTATTTCAAAGATTGAATTTTCGAGTTGTTTTCAATCTGGGTTTGGTTAAGTGACCTTAAAATTTTCGAAATGGCGGCAACAGCAAGGACAAGGATGGCCGTGTTGGTTGGTTTTGTGGTTTTGTTCGCATTGGCATTAAATGTGTCGGGTAACATGGTGTTTCCGGTGAGCCATAAGTTCAAGGGTGCTGGGAAGCAAGTGTCTTTGAGTGCATGGAAAGAGCATGATGCTCGCCGCCACCGGAGGCTTCTCGCCGGCTCAGACTCCGCTATCGATTTGCAATTAGGTGGCAATGGCCATCCTTCTGAAGCCGGGTGCGTAATTGCTTTCCTCCAACCACAATTGATTCTGTATCTTCTGAAAACAAAACAAAAATATTTTCGATTTCAAATTTCATTAGTTAGTAATGCTAAATTGCTAAGGAAAATGTTGACAAATTAAGGCAATCTCTCTACTTTTGATGTTATATAATCTACTTGCTTAACTTAATATGTAATTATATCCTCCACTATTACTACAGTTCGATACCTAATTATTATTGTTGTGACTTAACCTAAATCTTCTATTACAGTATTAGAATATCTTTGTATTAAAAGTTTAATATTTATTTTGTCCAAAAAAAGTTTAATATTTATAATCAACTCCCCTTTCCATGTAATGGGAGTTGGGAGCTTTGGTAAATTAAGGTTTGAACTTACAACCTGTTTGTCTCAATTAAAGATTTCTCGTCTCTTTTTTCTCCTTTTGAAAAAAAAAAAAAAAAAAAATCTGTTCTTGCAGTTTGTTAATCTGTTTTTAGGTTTAAGGTTAAATTTTGGATTGAATTTCACCTGTTATATTGAAGTGAGAATGTTTTTGAATTGGGTTTTATTAGTTTGTTTTGTAGGTTGCATCACGTGTACTTACGTAGTCATAGTTTTCAGTTGGGTGCAAATTTAAGTTTTGTGATACTTACAGATTGCATTTACAATTTTGCGTTGCATGTTGGATGCTTATAATATTGGTTTACATGTTATGTTTGGCCGGATTTAGGCTCTACATTGCGAAAATCGGACTTGGCTCCCCTTCAAAGGACTTTCATGTGCAAGTTGATACCGGAAGTGACGTTTTATGGGTGAATTGTGCAGAGTGCAGCGATTGTCCTACTAAAAGTAATCTTGGTGTACGTTTGCCTCTTCCGTTGCATTCTCTTTTCGCCCTAGCTGCTTGATGATCGCCACAGCACTTATCGTTATAGTTATTGTGATACAGTTTAAGCTCACAATGTACGATCCGAAGAGCTCTTCAACTTCAAGCAAGGTTACGTGTGATCAAGAGTTCTGCACTTCCTCATTCAAAGGTAAACTTCCTGATTGCAAGGCAGATATGCTTTGCAATTATAGTATCTCATACGGAGATGGAAGCACAACTGCTGGTTACTATGTCAAGGACAATATCCAACTTGATAAAGTCACTGGAAACCATCAAACAACCTCAACAAATGGAACCATAGTATTCGGGTGAGTTTTGAGCAATGATCATACTAATACTAGCATAATATGGGATCAAAACTAGATTTCTTTCAGTGTCTTTTTTGTTGCTTCCCGTTGTCTGTTTGAGTTGGCTTACTTGGAGTTTGTATAATTCATTGTTGATATGCTCTTGCTGTGTTATTAAGCTGAATCTCTTGTGGAATAGGTGTGGAGCTAAACAATCTGGGAATCTTGGTAAATCTCCCGGAGCAGTTGATGGGATACTTGGTTTTGGACAGGCAAATGCATCCGTGATCTCGCAGCTATCTTCTTCTGGAATGGTGAAAAAAGAATTCGCACACTGCTTGGATAACGTGAAAGGTGGTGGAATCTGGGCACTTGGGGAAGTGGTGGAACCAAAAGTGAAAAACACAACTCCGCTGATACCAAATCTGTATGTCACACGATCACAGAATCCTTCGGAATACTTCATTGCAAAATATGCTGTAATTGGCTTATGAAATTTGTGATTATTTACTTTTATTGGATATGATCTCAGGCCACATTACACTGTTACGGTGAAGTCCATTGAGGTGGGTGGCGATGTTGTAGATCTTCCAACAGATTTATTTGGCCTTTTTGAAGACAGGAACGGGGCAGTAATTGACAGTGGAACAACCTTGGCTTATCTTGCGCCGGAGGTTTATGAACCTTTTATGAAAAAGGTGGTCACAGAAGCTCTTTAACTCCCTTCATTTGGATTTTGTTGTCTAAATGACTACATTGCTTTCTTTTTTGGTTGAAAAACCTCACATTGTTATTTTGTTGGTAAATCAGATATATGCTCGACAGTCTGGATTGAAAAAACATATTGTTGACAAGCAGTTTACATGTTTTGAGTATTCCGGAAAGTAAGCAGTTTCATCTTAGCTATTGAATTTGTTGCTTAATTTGAGCAAATCATATGACTATACGTAGAGGAGCGACGCTTGTTGAAACCTAACTTTACTTTTCCTTGTGCGTTTTTCTTGCAGTGTAGACAATGGGTTTCCCGTTGTGAAGTTTAATTTTAAGAATTCTGTGGTGTTGACTGCATATCCTCATGAGTATCTGTTCCGGTTAAAGGCAAGTGTTTTAGATTCTCGAACAAAAGTATGTTACCTTGACCTTGTTCCATGAGTTGTTGACTAATTTAGATTTTACATTTATCATGACATTGTGCACAGGATGATGTCTGGTGTTCTGGTTGGCAACCCAACTCCATGAAATCTAAAGGCGGAAAGTCCATGACTATTCTGGGAGGTAGGGTTTGAATCACAAGTCAAGAAAACAAATATTTATTAGTTGGTTTATTCACGCGAATTGAATCCTACGTCAAATATTGTAATTGTTCCGACTTTGCAGATTTGGTACTTTCGAATAAGCTAGTCTTGTATGATATCGAAAACCAGGCCATTGGGTGGACTGACTACAACTGTGAGTAGCGTTCCATTCAGTGTTTGATTTGTTACAGTGTTTCGTTTTATGTTGCATTTTATTCTTATGTTTTTTTCGGTTTGTCGTGATTTAGGCACTTCAAGTATCAAACTGAAAGATGAGAAGTCAGGGCAGGCGTACTCGGTCGGTGCCCACAATCTTTCTTCAGCTTCGGGTCCGATAATCGGAAGGTTATTGGCATTCTTCTTGTTAGTGATTTCCATGCTGCAAATATTGGCTTAATTCAACAACTAGTGTCACAGCAGCCCTTTCATTCCTTGCCCTTGATCTGTCTTTCCAGGTGGTGATGGTTTCTTTATTTTTATCTATTTTTCTCGGATGAGCTTGTATGCGATCTGCAATTAATTGAACCTCATTGTCCTCGGAAATTCATTAACAACTCTTGGTGTTGGGCTGATATCTCTGAAGGAGTCAGTGCATGGGCTTTGATTAGAGCATGAGAGTGGGATGAGCAGCAAGCTGACGTAGCACGAAGTTAACAAAAATTACAAGCGTAAATCTTTGAAGAATGATAATCTGGAATCCACCAGTTTTGGAGAGTAATCCCAAAGAATGATTGATTAATTGATAATTGAATGAAAAGATGAGTACAGTGGGTAACAAACATAGCTTAAACAAACCATTTATTCCCTTTGGACAATTCAAAAGCCTTGGAAAATTAAAACAAAAATAAATGACATTAATCAGACGGAAACCAAAACGTCTAATTTTTATTATAGAAATTAAAACGCAATTTTAAAAGCCAAAACGATTGTTTCTAGCCTTAAGCTTGATGGTCTCATGGTATACCTGTGAGTCTTGTTTGGCTCACAATTTTCTTCAAAATCGACATATTATACGCCCAGTTCTGACATAAGAATATTTCTACCACGTCAGAAAAATATGGACCCCACACTTACCACATCAACCTTTAACAGAAAAGTTAACGAAGGGTTGACATTGCAACGAATTCGTAAGTTGAGGTATGACATTGCAATGTTTAAAAGATGGGATATGAGATTGTGCAACCCACTGTTGAGTAGTCTTATGTAATTTACCCTTTTGGGTTTTTGTATATATTAAATTTGAAAACCTATCTTCAAAATTCATACAAGTCCATCCAAAAACATAAGAAGAGGTTCAACAATAACATTCGTACAAGTCAATCCAATATTATTTTGTCTCAATTAGATAAGCTATTTCAAATGTTCCATTAACCAAGAAGAATCACCGAAAATTAAAACATGGAAGAAGTCATATCTTGTGTTCAATTCTCCATTTTATAATATCGTCCTCTATCTATTCCATGACTTTAATGCTACATTTTTAGGATGAAAGCGAGTTTAACTACTAGTAAGTTTCAGGCTCTTGTTTGTGAGAATTCAACAAATCTTGAAGAAACTTAGATGAGAAATGCAAAAATTCGGAAAGAGAGAGCTCGAGAGTTTTGATTGAGGTGTACTTTTCTTGATTGTCAAGTAATGTTTACAATGCTAGTTTATATTACTTTCTTACAAAGCTTGTAATGAAAGCTAAGCTATTGGATTATATTCTCCTTTATCTCAACTAACTGCACTCTTTAACAACTCTTAACGAGCTTGATATAAATACCTATCTCATCAATTCACAAGTGGCACTAGCTTGACCTTTGATTTCTTTTTCACTTGGATCATCGACTTTGTCTTCATTATTCTTTCATTGTTGGAGTTCGTTTACTTTTCAAGAATGGTGTGAAAAGCTATCCATTGCAAGGAGAGGACGGCTATAACAAGTACATAAAAATATTGCCCTACCGAAACAGAATAGGATAATATTTTTGGTAGTCAATGGCTGCTGGCTAAACCAAAGGGAATGGTGCCTACAACTCGTACAACAGCATAATCGATCCCAAGCCACACACAAACAGTCTCTCTACGTTTGATGTTATATAATCTACTTGCTTAACTTGATATGCACTTATATCCGCCGCTAGCATTACAATTCGACACCTAATGTTTGTAACCAACTCCCCATTCAATGTATTGGAGTTGGGAGCTTTGGCACTTACAACCTATTTGTCTCAATAGAAGATTTCTTGTCCCTTTTTTCTCCTTTTGAGAAAATAGAAAATAAAATATGTTATTGCGGTTTGTAGTCTTGTTTTTTTTAGGTTTAAGGTTACTTTTTGGATAGAGTTTCACCTGTTGTGCTGAATTGATAATGTTTTTAATTAGGGGTTTTATTTCGTAGGTTGCATTGTGTGTGCTTAGGTAGTCATAGTTTTCAGTTGGCTGCAAATTTAAGTTTTGTGATACTTACAGATTGCAAGGCCGATAAGCTTTGCAATTATGGTATCTTGTACGGAGATGGAAGCACAACTGCTGGTTACTATGTCAAGGACAATATCCAACTTGATAAAGTCACTGGAAACCATCAAACAACCTCAATAAATGGAAACATAGTACTCAGGTGAGTTTTGCGCAGTTGTCATACTAAAACTAGCATAACATGAGATTCGAAACTAGGTGTGGAGCTAGACAATCTGGGTTGGTTTACTTCGAGTTGGCTTACTTTGAGTTTGCATAATCATTGTTCTATGCTGTTGATGTGTGTATTAAGCTGCATCTCATGTGGAATAGGTGTGGAGCTAAACAATCTGGGAATCTTGGTAAATCCTGCAGAGGTTGATGGGATACTTGGTTTTGGACAAACAAATGCATTCGTGATCTTGTAGCTATCGTCTTCTGGAAAGGTGAAAAAAGAATTCGCGCACTGCTTGGATGACGTGAAAGGTGGTGGGAGCGGGGTCACTGGGGAAGTGGAGGAACCAAAAGTGAAAAACACCACTGCGCTGATACCAAATCAGTATGTCACACATTCTCGGAATCCTTTGGGGTACTTAACTTCATTGAAAAATATGCTGTAATTGGCTTATGAAATTTGAAAACATTTAATTTTATTGAATAAGATATCAGGCCACATTACACTGTTATATGAAGTCCATTGAGGTGGGTGGCGATGTTTTAGATCTTCCCACAGATTTATTTGGCCTTTTCAAAGACTGGAACAGAGCAGTAATTGACAGTGGAACAACCTGGGCTTATCTTGCGGCAGAGGTTTAAAAAGGTGGTCACTGAAGTCTTTAACTCTCTTCATTTGGATTTTGTTGTCTGAATAACTACATTGCTTCCTGCTTTGGTTGAAAAACCTGACATTGTTATTTTGTTGGTAAATCAGATATATGCTCGACAGTGTGGATGGAAAAAACCTACTGTTGACGAGCAGTTTACATGCTTTGAGTATTCCGGAAAGTAACCACAATCATCTTAGCTATTACATTTGCTGATTAACTTGATGGAAGCATGTGAATATACGAAGAGCAGTGATGCTTGTTGAAACCTTACTTTTCCTTGTGCAAGTGTTGATGGTGGAATTCTGGTTGTGAAGTTTAATTCTAAGAATTTTGCGGTGTTGACTGCATATCCTCTTGAGTGTCTGTTCGGGAAAAAAGGCAAGTGTTTTAGATTCTCGAACAAAAGTAAATTACCTTGACCTTGTTCCATGAGTTGTTGACTAATATACATTTTTGTCATGACATTATACACAGGATGGGTGTGTCTGGTGTTCTGGTTGGCAACCCAAGTCCATGAAATCTAAAGACTGGAAAATCCATGACTATCCTGGGAGGTAGGGTCTTGAATGGCAAGTTTTATTAGTTGGTTTCTTCACATGAATTGAATGCTATGTATCAAATTAATACTGTAATTGTTCCAAGTTACAGATTTGGTACTTTCAAATAAGATAGTCTTGTATGATATCAAAAACACCAGGCCATCGGGTGGACTGACTACGCCTGTGAGTAGCGTTCCATTCAGTGGGTGGGATGAGCTTGTTTGCGATCTGCTATTAATATTTGAGCCTCATTGTCGTCGGAAACTCATTGACGAGTCAATAGTGTTGGGTTGGTTGATATCTCTGAAGGATTCAGTGCATGCCGCTTTGATTAGAGTATGGGATTGAAATTGGGATGAGCCGCAATCGGCATACTATCCGGGAATAGGATTGTATAGCATACATATAGTGTTGATTCTAACAGATGAGGAAAGGGAATGAAATCCACACCCCTTTTGCAGAATGGGAGAGTTATTTGTCATATGATTTACGTTTACTATTTCTACATTCTAATCTTGAACAAGAAAAGAAAAACGAAGCAACAAGAATAATTACTCCTTCACTTTAGATTCATTCGCTTCTTTCGCTTCATTCGTTCATTCATTCCAGAGCGCAGCAACAAGAACAATTATTGGCTCAAAAGCTTCTCACAACCTAGCTAAGAACACTGCTTAAGGATGGCAGGCCTAGTTTGTAGTATTTTTCCACCCAAGCCAAGCCGCCCCGCCATGCTGCAATGCAATGCAATCTTTGATGTATAATTGATTAAGATGACTTTTCATGATGCTTCATCTTGCCTAATCTTTTTCTTCTGTGTTCACAGTGCTTCTTTGTTAGAATTCCTCTATCCCACATTGGCTAAAAGGCTTGAGAACAAGCCCTTTAAATAGAATTACCCCACTCTAACTATCACCGATGCCTTTTGTATTAAAACCCTACACCTGACGGATTGAGAAGATGGCTAAGTGGGCACAGTATCAGTGTTGTTAGAGTGGGCCCATGACCTATCTACCTAAAATTTAACATGGTATCAGAGTCAGGGACGAGCCCGTACATCCACGTGAACGGGTGGGTCCCCTTTGACTCCACGCGAACAGGTGAGCCCCGACTTGGAGCAACTCCAAGTCGGCCAAGAGATGCCACGTGAATGCATGGGTCCCCATTGGTAGCCCCGGCTTGGCTCCACGTGGTCTGTCCCATATTCACGTGTGACCCATAAAATGGGGTCTCACGTGCGGAGGAGTGTTAGAATTCGTCTATCCCACATCGGCCAAAAAGCTTGAGAACAAGCCCTTTAAATAGAATTACCCCACTCTAACTATCACCGATGCCTTTTGTATTAAAACCCCACACCTGACAGATTGAGCAGGTGGCCAAGTGGGAACAGTATCAATGTTGTTGGAGTGGATCCACGACCCGTCTATCTAAAATTTAACATTCTTTATTTCTTGAATGTCAAACTTTATACGGCAAAAGATGGTTTCTTATCAAGGAACACTGGGACAGTTTTTAACTCTATCCCGACTCTTAGGTAGGGCAATGTGATGCAACTTTTATGCACGCTTCTGTACCTCCTACTCCTCCTGCTCCTGCTCCTGTTAGAGTTAACCATTTATTCCACAAGGGCGGGGAATATGTATATACTCAACACGTTAGATGCAGTGCATGGGGAACAAATATATTTAAGACTGCCAACGGCCACGGTTCCTTCCTGCAAAAGCGTCTGAAAGTGGCCCAACGGCCACGGTTCCTTCCTACAAAAATCAGGGGATATTCTCCCGAGGTATTTTTTTTCTACATCAACTCTACCAAATCACATTTTGAAGGTTAAATACAATATCAGGAGTTCAAAAATAATATGATTTGAGGTTGAGGGGTCCCGAGGCTCACCCTTGGTCGGAAAACCGAGAACTCGCCGGAGTTAGAGTGGACCGATAGTGAACAGTGTCGGTGGTCACAATTCAGTGCCAGGCCCTGGTTCAATGTTGTTGTTTCTGGGTTAGTGATCGTGACTGATCTGAGTTGTCTTGATGGTGCGGTTTTTTCTGCACTTGCAGAGAGAGAGGGATGAGAAAAAGAAAACTGAGAGAGAGAGAGTATAAAGGGTAAAGAGAGAAGGAGAGAATCTGTGAGCGATGAGAGATGGGAGAGAGAGAGAGTGAAGATGAGAGAGATTTTTCAACGTGATCGGTACGGTATCTCATGTGTTATTATACAAATTGTAGGATATGTGTACTAAAAAGTTAATAACTTAAAAAAAAAAAAATTTTCATCATTTCTATTTACCACTTGTGTATCTGTCGTAATTAAAAATTTCTCCAATACGAGAGAGAGAAGACAAGAAAAAAAATTAAAAATAAAAGAGAGACCCGAGAGATTTGGAAGGCACGGGAGAGTGGGATGTGGGCCCCTCTGGCTCACACTCTAATTCCATAAAAGACAAAAACAGAAAAATATCCTGCCACACACAATTATCAAAATGCCTTTTATATTCGTAGTTTTGTAAAATTTTAGCCGTAATCGAATTTGATTCTGCTTGTGCCTATTATTCATATCATCGAGTACTACAAGGATACGCTAAAAGAATGTTTTGTATGTCTCTCTAAATGATGGTTAACGAAAGTCAACAATCTCGACTCTAGGGGCATTTTTGTCAATTCACTCTTTTAAAATTAATAAAATCGTAAAATTATTGACGGGTTGTTACAGGTGGGCTCCACAAATTTATTGCCCAGCCCTCCTTTAGAGATGAATTTTTGAACAATTCTGGTCATTTTTTTGCTTTTAGACATTTAGCCCTCTCTATTGAAGATGACATAGTGTCCTCATTTTAAGAACATATGAGATCCAAATGCATGTGGCTAACATGCATTTAGACCTCACAGATCCTCAAATTGAGGACTGATTTTATATGTATAGAAGCGGATCGATGAAATCGTACTTTTTACATGACTTTAACACAAGTTTTAAACCATTAGATTTCAATAAAAAAAAAATATCATTCCATCAAATACACTTTAGTGATTGGGATATAGCTTAACATGAAAATTAATTAATTTTTTTCCTTTCTAAATACTAGCAAAGAGCACACACTTTGTGTGTGTGTGAGTGAACAATTTCTCTTAATAAGTGCATTTTTTTTAATATTACATAATTACTGTTTTGTTCTTCTTATGTAAATATTGTGTATCAAAAGTGAGGGTAAAATTAGAAAAATATGATTGTCATTATCTCATAAAAAAAAAGAGGGTAAAATAGGAAAAATAGGAATATGATTGTCATTTTGTCAAAAACTACAAAATTACTATTTTTCCCTCTTTTTTGTCAATAGTGTGTATCAAAAGTGAGAGTAAAATAGGAAGAAAAAAAAAGGAAAAAAAAATTGACAATAAGGATTTTCTTAATAATAGTATAGATATACACATAGAAATATAAAATAAAATAAACCCTTTTATTGTAGAATTTTCTCTCTCCTTTATCATTAGTGTTTTAATTCACATTTTTTCTTGCAGTCGTGCTTCTTTCCCGTCACCCTTTCTTTTTTTTCTTTTTTCTTTTTTCTCAAACCTTTCCACTCTCCATCTGGTCTATTTTCTTGTTGAATTTCTTTAATATCTCGTCACTTATCTAATAAACCATCCTGGGGTTTTATTTTTCTCCAATCAATTATCAACAAAATAACAAAAAAAATTATGTTCTACTCATGGCCGGCACTAAGATTCCAAGGTCCCAAGGCAAGCAACTAAAAAAGCCCTTGAGTTCTTAAAGCATCTTCATTGCCGTAAGCAAATGTTATAGATAAAATTGTACTATAATAGCTAACGTAACAAATTGCATACTCAATTGCCTTATGAAAAAAAATGTCACGCTCCAATGCACTAGTTAAACTTTTATTTTATTATTGTCCTTCACCTTTGATATTTTTTTTTTTATATTTTTTCTTTTTCTCTTCTTTCCCTCATATGAAATATTTTATTATCAGTCTCTTAAAAAAACGAAAACTTTATTAGAGGAGTAGGCAAAGTTTACCTTATTCAAATATATTACATATGTTATGCCTATATCACTTTACAAGGTTGTCTTCAAAAGCTGTACAACAAAATAAACTAGTGCCAGAAATAGTCCAATTTGGTATACATCTCTCTGGAAACCATCATCCCTTTGAAAGAACTGAATCAAATTAGCATGCAAACAATACGTCAATCGATTGAAATAAAATAAAATAAAATAAAAGGGGAAGGATCATTACCGTAAGAATGAATAAAATATTTGTGTTTCGTTTGTTTAATTACTAACCTTTGTTGGATCACCGGAAGGGTCTGGATAAATTTCCATGTTCTGTTTTACTCTAGGGAACTTGCTGGAAATGGTTTTAGCAAGATCAACCAAGTCTTTTCCACCCTCGATTGTAGCATAAAGACGGCGTGATGTCCAGAAATATGCTTTCGCAATGGCTGATGAAGCTGATAAATCCCAAAACTCTTCATGTTCAATGACTTGGCCACTTATCTGGTTTAAAGTGAACTGGGAATTTATTCTTATGATCAAATCTCCTCCTATAATGTTCTTCGCCTTCCCTTTGATTGTCCACTTGATACTCAGGACACTCGTCGATAACATGCTCATTTCTTGCACACTCTGTTCATATGAAACAATAACAACCAAGGATGTTTTTATCTTGCATTTATGTGGATTGTTATACAAGAAATTTCAAAAGGAATAAGATGAACTCAGAAGACTCACCACAGAGGGATTTTCTAGTGCACTGGTTATCCATAGCGGTCTCTTGTACTTGTCACGTCCGCTAAAACTTCTAACTGGGTCCTAGAATAACAAATCTTTAACTGGTCAGCGCTTGAGCGCATATAAAAGCACTAGAACTTCTAACCGAGTATATATAAGCACATATGCCACACTACATTACATGTTAAGTATTAATTATATACCTTGTATTTAACAGAAACAGCAAAGGTTCCAAGGGCACGATTGCCTTCTCGTAGCTCAAGGATATCGCGTACAAGTTGTCGAGCTGTAGACTCCACCAAGGGGCTACTAATGCACTCAAACTCATTGCATAGCTCCCCAAAGTTCAATCCATCAACAATCCTATCAGCCTCTGTTCTTTTATCCGTCGTCGACAATTCTGATTCACTAGTGCTCCTACTACTAGTCGGATCATTTGTTACTGCATGCACCCCGCCACATGATCAGTTACAAGCGAAGCAATTGATTTACTCAAACTTTTATTACGGTAGTTAAATTATGTTTCACAGGATAAGTTACTAAGGAAAAAGTATATTCTGTTGAATCAGTTGTTGAATATTTTTTTTTTATTTATCAAACGATAGATTTTGTTAGATTAGCCGTCGAACGGGGTTTGAACCCATGCCATCATACAAGGGCTCAACTCCTTTCCGTTACTGTGGTAAAAGGCCACTTGCAATCAGTTGATGAATTCAATCAAATGGATTTTACATTTGATGTGAATTGAGATAGTACTCTACCTCTACCTCTAATCAGAAATTTGGAGTACCAGTTAAGAGTTCCCATTCCTGCTGATTAATTAGATGTCAAAGTTGTTTCTAGCTGTTCTTTTTATTTATTGTATTTCTAGAATCCAAATGAACTAAGTGGTGGCATATATAGAGAAGAACATGAGATGTAATTAGAATAGAGAGATCATTGCAGATGAAAGGGTAATTAAGTAGGTACCTCGCAGTATGAAAGGGTGGTGGTAGTGGGAGGAGGAGGAAGAGGAGGCAGTAAAATTAGGCTTGGAATTGGAGGTGGAGGTGAAAATTGTTCGTTTAGCTGCAGTACTAGTAGTGGTGGTGATAGTGGAGGAACTAGTAGTTTTGCAGTGGAGGGTGCTGGTGGCGGCAGCAGCAGCGGAGTTAGAGGCAACGAGGGCAGTGATGGAAACGGAGGCACTCATCTCTGGGTTCTCTGCTCCCTGCCAGTACTAGGACTAGTCCTGCCCATCATATCCATATTGGTTGCTGCTGCTAGAGAGGGGAGAGAGTGTAAGCACATGCATGCATAGAGAGATAGAGGATAGAATTAGAGCCTCTCTTTTTAATTATTTTGGATAAGGTTTTTGGGGTCTTCTTCTGCTGTCTTTGGAGTTGCAATGCAAAGTCACTCAGATCTTGCCATGTCAGCTAGCTTTGACTCAATTATTGACTTGTAGGGGGAATTGGGTCCTCTCCGAGATAAACTCTCATGATCCTCTTAACCCACTAACACGGGCTGCAGCTACAATTATATTAACTTTAGAGAAGTTCTCCTATTTGTAGGTGTTAGTGGGTCAAGAGGATCTCGAGGGTTTGCTGCCTCGGAGAGGATCCAATTCCCTTGTAGGGCACCAAGTGCCAAGGTGTAATCCAACAGGATTCTATCTGGATTCTTTTGGTGTGGATCCTGAAAATCTGTGAATCATATACGTTCATCGTACATCCTGCGGTTAGTTTTTATCAAGTAATGTTTGTGTTTAATTTTAAGGAATTAACTTGGCTGCTGAATTTTAAATAAAAATATTTAAAATGATTTATGACCGCACAATGTACGATGAACGGACACGATTCACGAATTCCCGAAATCCTTACAAAGAGGATCCAGATTCAGGTGTATACACATGTATATGTATTTATGCATTTTCAGATAAGTACACGTATAGATAAAAGCCATGGCCGTTCATCAGCAAAGGCGGAAAGGTCGACCGCTCCACATATACGAAGGAATGTGTATTTATTTTATATTAGCGTTATATGAAAATATAATGGGAATTGTTATTGACACTTCAAAATTCTTATTCTACACTCTAAGTTTTCTATATTTAGAAAGAAAAATATATTTGTAAGGAGTGTAGAATGAAATTTTTAGAGTGCCAATAACACTTCCCAATATAATATCCTAAAGTTTAATACTGTTTTCTTCCAAGAATACAACTCTAGTATAATATAGGAGCTCAAAGGAACTATATATTGATAAAAGGAATGCAAACAACATTCTCCCTAATTTTTTTCCCTTTTCATTCTCACCTTCTCAATCTCCCTTCAAATATCTATTTAGTTCCTAACCTAGAAAAAGTGGCGCGGAGAGGGCTCGATTTTAATTTCATCCTAGACCACCATTAACTCAGGAATATATATCATATATGTGCGCGCGCGCATAGACTAAAAGGCTCGATCATCCTTCTAATAATATATTAGTTTCGAAAATGAAAAAGCTGTTAATATCATCACCTAAGAATGTAATCTTTTTTTTTTTTTTTAAAGAGAAAAGTGACTGGTGGCGAAGCCACAACAATCCATCTTAATTAGGGCCGGGAAAACTCACAAAGACATTTTAACCTCCTTATGATCACAATTGTGTAATTTACTAGCGTTAAGAATCGAACTTAGGACGAGCCATATCAAATACGGGCCTGGAATTCCACTAACCACTAGCCACCCCGTGGTGGTTAGAGTCTCTATTAGAGAGTGGTGGTGGTGATAGTAACTTGAAACCTACCGATCTCTCTCACATTCATATTACAGAATTGGAAAGAGCAATATATCTATGTTTCTCACTCTTGCTATTCTCTACCATTAGAAAAGTTTGAGACTGCACGTTTTGTTTCCCAATCGATCTCTAGTCCAAGATGCATCATTTCCACCACTACCTAGTACCTACTACTTAATTATTTATCACTCAGTGATGAAATTAAATAAAATTATCACCTTCCTCATCAACATCGTCATCATATTATACCTTGCTTGGTTTTTAGCCTCCACTCCACTCCCACTACCCTAATTTCATAAAATTCCACAAAAACAAAAATTCCCCCACCTTCCAATTTCTATTTTAGTTTATTAATTCCTTAATTAGGTTTGACGACGAGATATCCTACTGCAGTAATATAATATATATCCTAATCCTAGTAGTAAGTAATACCTTAAGTACCTGCAGTGCAGTGCAGGCACTAGAATTTGGGCAATATTGCAGTAATAGAATATGTATCCTAATCCTAGTAGTAAGTAATACCTTAAGTGACACCCCAACCAAAATCAAGGCGTGCTGGCCGTCACGCCTTGATTTTGGTCGGGATGTGTCAGTTTGGTATCAGAGCATAGGATACCAAATTGTCGAGCCTGAGATGTGGTGGGGATCCAGACCGGAATGTGACATTAAGTAACTGCAGTGCAGTGCAGGCACTAGAATTTGGGCAATATTCCTTCCTTCTTTCATTGGATTTCACGCGGCGATCTTCATCTACTACTCATCATTTTCCCTTCCCTTCTAATTTACAAATCTAATATCGCAGCATCCGCACAGCAGGTGTGTGTATAATATATGTTGTATCCATCGCCACTAAATCAATTATCATATATTAGTATTAATCACTCCCTCGTAAAGCATAGCTTGCTTCAATCCTCTCTCTCTCTGCCAGTTAATTAGTTTCTCTCTTTGACTCTTGTTTACAACGAACGATTTCATCCAAACACAAACGTTTTTTCATTAACAATAATATAATATACATTCGTATATAATCAATTAAATAGCTCAATTTTTTACCTCTTTTGCTGTATATAGTATTATGAAAATTTATTCTTTATTTTGGTCAAAGCTCAACTTAATCATATATTAGACGAAAGTATTAGTCAATTTAACATACATACTGCATAGATATTTCTCCGACCTTCGCAAAGCGAGAGTCTTGTGGTTTGGGGGGTCGCCCTTTTAACATATATATTGCATGGTCCTCCTTCCTCTTCTTTTGTCTTTGATTTTGGTGAAAGTTGTTTTTGACTTTACTTCTATACCAAAAAAATTTCCTTGTAATTTGACCAAAAATTGATATTTTGGCCTTGTTCTTCTTCCACCCTCCATATATCGAATTTCTTGTCTATAAATAATTATATTGTATATACAGAGTACTCTTCTCATTGATTTTATCACCTCTCCATCTTCTTTGTATATATCAACACAGCAACAAGTTTATTACTAAGAAACTGCAGGTCCTTGTGAAATTCTTGACTAATACAAGGAAGGAGGCATGGCGGCCATGGCCAAATTCTCAGTACTCTCACTCTTCTGCATGCTTTTTGTGAGTTTGGTCGTCATCATTGAGGCTGCCCCTCAAAGCTCTCTTGTCACTCATCTTCCTGGTTTTAATGCTAACTTTCCATCCAAGCACTACTCTGGGTAATTCAGTTATATAATTACACACATATACATATTATGCTTATATATCTCTATATGTTAGAACTACTGCTTTTAATTTGATGGGAATTTGTTGAATATTGTGTAGATATATTAGCATAGATGGAAAGAATCTTTTCTATTACTTCGTAGTTTCAGAAAGGAACCCAGCAAGTGATCCGGTTGTTCTGTGGCTCAATGGTGGACCCGGCTGCTCTAGCTTCGACGGATTTGTCTATGAACATGGTAACTAATCCTTACCGTACATGTTCAGTCTTCCACTTGATCTCTTTCTTTCTTTTTTGTTTTCGTCTACGTACACACCACTACTACTACTTGAATCATTTAGTTTCTTTCTCTCTATATCTTTTTCAATAATATATATGTATTCTTAGGTGCTTTCTGTTCAACCACAAGTTTGTTTTTCTTTCCCATTTTATCTTATATATAATAATATAATAGCTGGACGACTAGTAGTGTCTGTATTATATATGCTTTTGCATGAGATGCTTCTGCTGCTACACGTTTTTAGAAACGTTTGGTGGATGTGTTTCACTGTATATGCCCTTCTTCTCGTTTGGGGCCCGTTATTATCAGTTAGCTTGCTCACGGGTGTGAAGATTGGATAAAAAGACACTTTTGTTTCACAAATTATAATAATTTCTTCCTTCCCTTCGTCACACGGGTCAAGATTCATGTTTAAGATTAAGACATTAAAACCATTAGATTTGATATAAAAAATTGAGATTAAAATATTAAAACCAGATCTATTTATTCTCCGCTCTTACACTAAATTCAAAGATATATGAGCATTTATTTGTCATCAATTACTTGGTGTGCATCGGGGGAACTGTAAATGATAGATAATATGTGCCTTGAAAACACAATTCATAGACCAACACTAACAAGTGCAAGTGTGTTGTCCATTTCAGCTGTATGCAGATTGGCACCACACAATTGAATTGTTGTCTTTTCTTGTTGTCTTCTAATTTATTTTGAATATAACTAAAAAAATAAAAAGCCACTACTACATGCTGATCATATGAAACTCCTCGACACCATCATCTAGAATATGCAACATGTGACAAACTCTTATTCTTCCTTGGCCAAAAATTGATGTGACATCATTAACTTTGAAAATGAGATCATATTTTTAGGTTAATTTACTTGATTAATTATGTATATATGTAGGACCATTCAATTTTGCAGAAGGAAAATCTAAAGGAGCATTGCCTGTTTTGCATCTTAATCCTTATAGCTGGTCCAAGGTAGGTCTAATTAAACATTATTTAGATGGAAAGACTCATGTTTTCCCTTTACTAATTTTTATCATCGTTATCTTTTTTATTGGGCATAATTTAATAACCAATTAATTAATTATCAGGTTTCCAACATAATTTATTTGGATTCTCCTGCTGGTGTTGGATTTTCTTACTCTCAAAACCAAACCAAATATATCACTGGGGATATCCAGACTGCTCTTGATACCTATGCCTTTCTCCTCCAAGTAATTAATCAGTTTTTCTAATTAATTAATTAATCTACTCCTCAATATCATATTATATATCATCATATGCTTATTGATTATAAAGGGGATTAAAAATGTTCTCATGTGATGCTATATATCTTCTTTTTAGAAAACTTCGTTTTAATCCTTAAAAAATATGAGTTTTAGACTATAATCTTGTGTAAGATTAAAATCTAATTTGAGTCCCTAGTACATTTAATCATCTCATTTATTAGTTATATTTTGATGTTTTATTTATCTTTTTATTCCTATTTTAATGTATTAATTACATTTAAATTTAATTTTCATTTCATTTATCATAATATATTTTAATGTCTACATTTAGGAAACTAATTTTTTTATAATATGTAGTCCAATAACAATTTTGTATGTTCTTCATTTATGTACGTTAATGCATTGGAATATTTCAGTATATTAATTAATACAAACATATAGTTTCATTAATTCATCAATACAAACATATACATGCATTTTGGTACACACATTTGAGGTTTTTATTTTTTATTTTTTTAGTACAACGATATATTTTACTCTAAGACGAGGAAGAGTTTGGCTAAGCCACACAATGTACAATTTAATTTGATATCAAATTCGTCATCCACAAGATTCAAACCAAGTACCTCTCATTTGAGTATTGACTTTTAGGTACATTAATTCAATATACTATATTTCGGTACGTACATTTTGGTACATACATTTCGGTATTGATATTTAGGTACATTAATTCAATATAATACATTTCAGTACACACATTTAGGTTCATTATAATATATTTCGGTACAATCATGTAGGTACAAATATTTTGGTACAAAAAAGTCAATTTTATATATTTTGACACAATTATTTTTGTACACTTGTGTATTTATATATTTTTGTATCACAAATTTCTTTTAATATTTTCTCATTTATATTCATTTTTAATTAAAGAACTAAATATGTGCATATTAATAAAATTAAAATTTAATGTGAAGAAATTAAATAAAAATACACATTACATAACAAAAGCTGAATATAAATTTTGATAAAAGTACACCTTAAGGGATTAAATTGAATATGTAATCTAGCACCAGATTTTTTTTAAAAAAAAATTAATCTTTTGCAATGACTAACGTTCAAAAACCTCTTTTATTTTTCGTTTGTTTCTTCCATTTTGTTGCTAAGAATTATGTAATGTTTATGCAATCACAGTGGTTTCAGCAATTCCCAGAGTTTCAACCAAATCCGTTGTATATTTCGGGAGAGTCTTATGCTGGAGTCTACGTGCCAACTCTTGCTTCTCAAATTGCAAAAGGTATCTAATTAATTTATTTGTATTTACATAAATACAACATTACACGAATTGCGCGCATATGTATATAATGTATTTGTTGGATTTAATTTCTGGTGTGTAACTATGTACTGTATTTTATCCATATATGTACGTATAGGTATAAACAAAGGAACAAAACCAACTCTAAATCTCAAGGTGCGTATTCTATCAAGTCAACTTGAGAAAATTAAGCTTTATAAACTGATTCGTTTCATCGCGTTAATCGTAGTTAAACTTGTAATGTGTGTAATCAGGGTTACCTGGTGGGGAATGGAGTCACAGACCGAAGATTCGATAGAAATGCTTTAGTTCCATTTGCTCATGGGATGGCTCTCATTTCAGATAAAATCTTTCAGGTAGCTAGCTGGCTAGAGTACTGATCAATTAGTTAACTCACACACATTATGTCTTCGTTTTCGGTTTTCCTTGCTGAATTTCCACTGTCAGAAGTTTGTGTGAGGCAAATATCTGAGATGCCTCTGTGTTGCAGGAAGTTGTTGCCACATGCGGTACTGACCTCCTTAATGTTCCTCCTTCCAATCGTAGTCTATGCCATGAAAAATTTCAACCACTTGACAGGGTGCAATTCTAGCTCTTTTATTCAATTTAATTAGATTCAAACTTGTCACATTGTTAATTGTAATCTAGACACAACTATTTGATTAATTAGGCTCTTGACGAACTAAACGTCTACGACATCCTTGAACCTTGTTACCATGGCCCCGGAGCTGATAATAACAAAAATTCCAAAGAAAATAAAACAAGCAGCTTACCGTTGAGCTTTCAGCAATTGGGGAAGACGACAGAGAAGCCTCTGGGAGTGAGGAAAAGGATGTTTGGCCGAGCTTGGCCTTTTCGAGCAAACATAGAAGATGGCATTGTCCCATCATGGCCTCAGCTCGCAAAGACACTGGATTCCAGTGTTCCTTGTATCGTAAGTTACTCTTAAAACTCAATTTTAATTAGATTAGATTAATTTTTTAGTAATTAATTTGGATATTAAATAATTTCTCTGCAGAATGATGAAGTTGCAACGCTATGGCTGAACACCCCAGAAGTTAGGGAAGCAATTCAAGCACAACCAGTAAGCTTGCTTGATTTTTCTTTTTCTGCAGAAGTTAATGATCTAATTAAAAGAAAGTAAGAAGGAAGGAAGGAATGAATGAATGAGTGAATGACGTATGGCAGGAAAATGTGACTGGTCCATGGGAGTTATGCACAGATAGAATAAGGTATTCACACGATGCTGGAAGCATGATCCCTTACCACCAAAATCTCACAACCCAAGGTTACAGAGCACTTATTTACAGGTATTTAATAATATATTAACAGACGGATCAAGTCCTAATTAATTAAGTTGAAGTGAAATGGATATGGATTAAGCTAATTGATAAAAACAACTAATGTTGCAGTGGAGACCATGATATGTGTGTTCCGTACACTGGGAGCGAGGCATGGACTGCATCACTTGGATATAAGATTGTAGATGAATGGAGACCTTGGTTCTCCTCTGACAACCAAGTTGCCGGCTACTTACAAGGATATGCCAACAGCCTCACCTTTCTCACCATCAAGGTCTCTAGTCCCTCCACTGTATACGTTAATACTGCTATATATACATGTTTCTTTCCTCCAAAATTAAAGATAAATCTGGAAGCATATGCAGGGAGCTGGACACACTGTCGCAGAGTACAAGCCGCGGGAGGCACTCGACTTCTTCCAACGCTTTTTGGGCGGAAAACGCATTTGACCGACAATAATACGACGACATTGACCAAGCTCAAGCAGCTGCCGTTTCACTTTTCACTTTTCATCACATTTTCCTTTCGTTCTCCATATTTCCATTTGTTGAAAGAGTACTACATTGAGTTTCAACTTTTTATCTTCATTGAGTTTCAACCAAGAATTTCACACTCTCTCTTCTTTTTTGGATCAACGTAGGAAAACGAAAAGGAAACAGAAACAAAAAAGAGGTCCCATAACAACTGGAAAACACACTAGTCTTGCCCTCCCTCCCCTTTAACCTCAAGCCAATTGACTCACGTATGATGTTTTCCACAATAAAATCTAGGAAATATCTTCTTGTTATTAGTTTCATTATTTGTGGGTGAGAAGGACATTAATTAAACCATTGAAAACAACCCTCCATCATAATATCTCTCTCAACTCAAGTACCGACGTTGTCGTTGTATGAACAGATTCCAATCAATCCTCACCATAATATATATATATATATATATTTATATGTAGTATCTTTCTGGAAAATTCAATTTGTGTGGTGCTTAATTTGGTAGCTTAAGGTCAGTTCAGTGATGGTCCTGATGAATGAATGCTACCATTCAGGGTTTAGATTATGACAAAGATATTCTGAAAATACAAAAGCTTTGCCGTTGCCCGCTATAGTCAAAAGGAATCAATGAATAACATCAACAGCCCACCAACTTACCTTTAGGGCAACTTGGATGATGCCAAGTTGCCAACTAGTGAACTACCACAAGGGAGGGAGTATATGAACAAAATTCTACTTTGATCCGGAATCTCTTATACACTAGGATTTTTTACCGTTAGATATTTGATCATTGAATCTTTGACTAAGACTCTAACGGCTTAAAACCTCAACGCATGGGATACTCCAGAGCATACTAGAAAAATCTCGGGAGTATATATGCACACTACATTTATCTCCACCAATCAATTACCAAATTAAATGCAAATTCAAAACTCAAAACTAACCGACAACACACAACTTTATAATAACAAGAAAAGCTAATCAAGTAGCTTATAAATATCTTGTTTGCAAGTTGCAACAGGGGCAACATTACAATTGCAAATATGTACATATTTCTCACATCTGAACATGACAGGCACTTCTTCAAATACAAAAACAAGACAATTCAAGCTGAAAACTAAGACGAAACTTCATTCGTTCATTCTCACAAAATTATTATCCACACATCGAAATGCATGAATTTCTTCAAAACAAAGAAAGAAAAAAGAGTCGGAGAGTTGGATTTTTACACAAAAAAATATTCCAATCTCCCCAGACATTGCTAATATAGTCGGGAGGATCCCTCACACCACCTCTCCGGTCAAAATTTTAACCTTCATTTCACCCTACAAATCACTTTTGTGTTGTAGAATAACGTAGGCAAAGCAAAAGAATAAATAATACAAAACAATTATGATATCAATATATAATATGAGAAACAAACAGGGGAATTCAAACCTTCTTCCACATCTTCTCGTCTTCTTTTGTGGGCGTAAATCTGGGCAGATTCAATAATGTGTTCACCCGAGAAACTCCTTCCAGAGCTGACCACTCTACACCTGGTTCCGAATTCATTTCCTCTGCAGCATTCTCCTTTCTTCCTCCTCCTTCTTCGTCTTCTTCATCTTCTTCTTCGTCCTCTTCGTCTTCTTCCTCATCTGCAAGGATCTCTTCAGCAGTTCGGACAGTCCCCGCGCGGACCAAAGAAGCTGTCTCCGAGAGATCTTCTTCAGCATTTACCTCATCTGCTGTAGTAGGCTGCTCCTTCTCATTTGACCCGTTATTAGCAGCAGTTGATTCTATGTTTGAGTCTAAGTCAAGGAAGAGACAAACTACAGCACAGTCATCTACTTTGGAAGTTGGGTATTTCTGTCTCCACACTCTAACTGCTGTCTCTACCAGTGCTTGAGCTGCAGAAGGACGTGCAGGGGCTGTTGCTATAACGTCTACCACTTCTTTGTTAGAGAGAACATCCCAAATCTGGCAAAAAAGTTTTAATCTTAGATTCGAAGAGCACAAGGAGGAATAGGAAGGGGAAGGGAAAGGAAATGTTATATATCTCTTTAGAAAATAGCTTAAAATTAGCTGGCTACGTACCCCATCTGTCGCCAGGACTATAAATTCATCCTTCTCTGTGAGACGCCGATAGGATACATCTGGCACAGAGATGAGGCCAAAATCCTTGAGGCAGAAATCTCCAAAAGCACGTGCCATGGCAAGACCAGGAGAGTCATTGTTTGGCAGCCAGACTCGAGCAACCTCAGGTTCATCCTGAAGAGCAAAAACGCGCCCTCTACACTTCCGTATTCTCTCTGCTTCCGCTGTTAGTGAGGAAGAATTAGGGAAAAAACAGGTAAGAACTAAGAAACAACTTAATCACAAGAAGCTAGCAAGCAGACCACAGTTGACCACAGAGCATTCCCTGTTTACTATTGCAGGTAGATGAAAGCCATTATCCAATGTACCAGGAAAATTCACTTTCTATCATTTATGAGAAATTATTTCTTTATTTCTGGTCCCAAGTTTCATATATAGATCCAGAAACTAACGAAGCATGACCAAAAAAACAAAAAAAAAGAATATAGTCATAATTCTAATATAAATCCTACGCCAAAATAAAGAGTGTTTATTTTGGCGTAGAATTATAGTTAAAAAAATATTCATGTCGGGGTGTGATTGAAGTTCCCAAAACACTTTGTTGTGTTGTTAAGAAGATGTTCAGATATGAAATATATTTTTTTCATGTATCGAGCATCATTAGAAATTTGACCAGATCAGGTCCTGCCAAAATCATAAACCAAATTTGAAAACTAGCAAACTGAAAACTATTACGAGAAAGGAGAAGGCAAGAAGAGAGAGAGAGTGATACCTGGAAGACTTGGTTTGAGATCCACGGTCAACTGAATTGCACTTAGAGTGTCATCTCTATCTCTTGTGCACAGAACGGCTCTGGAGTCCCCAACATTTCCAATGAATAAATCCCGACCCTAAGAAACACGCCAATACATGCATGATCAAGATGAGCACATCACCCAAAAAAATAAAAATAAATTAGAACAAGTTTGCAAGGGATATGAAAGCACCTGTTTAATCAAAGTTACTGCTGTTGTCCCACTGCAAAAGCAATCGATACTTGGTGTTGTTCGCAGCTCCCTGTCCATAACTTTAAAAGCCTTCAGAAATGACTCTCTCAGTGTCTGAAGGATCTCAGGGTTTTTTTCTGTTTCGTCAACATCCACGGAGGGCCTGAGATCTTCATCAACAGATACAAAAGCAGTATCATCTGAATTCAAGCTTCCTGCAGTGTTGAGGCTGATCTCTTTGAGAACTTCCCAGTTTGCACTCAATTTCAGAGGAAGAGAGTCCCTCACTCTTTTAGCAACCATATGACCAAATGGACCATGCCCATCGAAAACACCACAGAAAACTGTGTCTGTTCTCGAACAGAAATTCTGAAATTGATATTTAAAAGATTTAGACAATAATTACATTGTTCACCCCTGGATATGTTTCCTCTTAAGATACATATATCACAGCAAAATCTCAAAACGTAACATTCAGAGAACAAGGATCAAACACGGATACAAAATATAACAGCTTAAAAACACGGATACAAGAAAACAAGGATCAAACTATCTGAAGTGAAGGTTAATATATGCCAAAATCCGTCCATGTAAAGTAATGAACACATTGACAATGAAGGTGAGCCAATTTGCTCTGCAAACGACTTGTAATAGCTGAGGAGAACGATGAAACAAAGAATTCAACTGCTACCACAGAAGTAAGTTTTGCTAGTCTGGATAATTTCCCTGGGCAAAAAGGGTGGAAAAACTGTAGCCAACTAAAAGAAAATGGTTTTTCCTTTCTTGAAGTAGAACTACAGGAAGTACAATTTCTTTCAGCTGAATTGATCATAATACAAAAAAATAAAAATTTGCACACGTAGATTTTTCATGCGGATTTAAAATTGATGAAACCGTAAATATATCAATTAGGCTGCAGGAAAAGAAAAAAGAAAACATTTTACCTCCCAAACAATCATGGCATCCTGATTGGTTCCTTTCTTGCCCTGCTGCGTAAACAAAGATGCAGCTTCACTGGACCCATTGAGGAACATTCTCCCGGGAATTCTGTGCAGCTGTTCTTCCCGGCGGTAATCGAAGGACGAATTTCTCGACCCCATTCTCTTCTTAGAGCTCTTCCGCCGCCGGACTTCATAGGGGGGAGACGACGGCGTATCGGGCAGAGGGCTCCTGCTTTCTACAGACAAGCAGGAACCCATTCTCAGGGCCCTGATAATGTTTAGTAGGCACTCCAGACCAGCTGATGAGCAATACAACCCCGCACTCTTTTTTATCGACGGATCCGTCGTCGCAAACTGTCGCAAATAACCCCCAACGCCCTTCAATTTCACGGCCTTTGATTAACCATCCAAATCAATCCACTAAATTCACTCACTTTTGATCAGATTAATCCACCTTAATTACAATCTGCGACCAAATTGCTACAGAATTCCCCAGCAAGCACTTGAATTTTTCACTTTTCCAGGAAAGGAAAACACTTTGCTCTTTCAATAACCCCCTCTCTATCTCTATTTCTCTCTTCCCTTTTCAGATCAGGAAAGCAGATCTATGTAAGAAGATCCAATTCAGAATACCAACTTTTTCACCACGAATCATTGTCCCCGAATCCGGCTAGAAAGCTCCCCAATTGCACGACCCCAATGGGTTGTCCTTCCCATCCCAGATCAAGCTCGAATCCTACGAATCCAAAATTACAGCAAAGCTGCAGAGAGAGAGAGTGGGCAGAGCAGGCAGGTCAAGTCACGGCTCTGCATAAAGCAAGCATCTTCGTGAATGTTATCAGAAGGGAGGAAGTGGATACGGAGCCAATTTTAGAGAGAGAAAAACATCAAGGAGAGATAGAAGGAGGAAGGAAGAGAGAGAGGCTTTCAAAGTGAGAAATAATCGCAACCACCAACAGCAACTGAATTATAAAAGATTGCAAAAATACCCGCTCTTACAATACGACCTGACTTCTAGAGAGAGCAACCGAAAAACAGAACGAATGCAACAAACAACTACTAAATTTGAGGAGCCAGAAATTAAAGAATAAAAATAAAAATATGTAGAAAGTGAACGATTAGATTTAGCCATCAATAAAATTTACTGTCACAGTCGTACCGTCACATAATTAATTTATTGCATAATACTTAGCCGCTTTTCTTTGAATTTACAATTCTTATTTTACTCATTTTCATTCATGATATTTATTTTGCTTAAAATTAAATGTAAGACAGGATAAAGACGAAAAAATTTAACAATTTGATAAAAAGAAAAGGGTTTATTGTATAAAATAAACATATGGATATTAGGTTCCACCGATGCGGCTAATAAAGTAATTAATTAACAGAAATCATAGAATTGTAATTTTTGAGATGATTTGTATGGTAAAATTGTTATTGGTAGAAAATGGCCTAAAACATTGTATTTCGACACACATTACATAGTTAGTTTATTGCAGATTTTTAGATGTCTTGTCTGGTATATAGAATTAATATACAGACATGAGACATACGTCTATCATCAGGATTCAGACATATTGTTTGAATAAGAAAACCGGATTTATGCAGTTGATTGACCCAACTCAACTCAACTTACTGGAATGAGTTTTTGGGCGTAATATTCCACAAGTTTTTAGTTTAATACCTCGTTTAATGCATGTGGTTTATTACATTTTAGCTACAATCTCGGCAGCTTTGTGTACAGATCATACATAATAAGGATCAAGAAACCCTGATTTCTAGGACAATTATGTGGTTTGCCCTCCCACGTTACACACTCATTTTATATAAATAAATATATATATATATATATATATTCATGCAAGTTAAGTGATGTCCAAATCATTATATATACGTAGATGCTTTTGAGTGATGTCCAATCCAAAATTGGCTCTAAAATTGGCTATATATAGAAACAGACTAATATATATATATATATATATATATATATATATATATATATCAAGGAGAGCCAGTATTTATACCAAATATATATATAGACACAGACTAATATTAAGTAGATACAAAAGGATTTTGAGAGGATTAAAAATGGATTGGATTTGAGGGTTTCCGTGTGTGTGTGGAGGCAGATGTTTATATAAATACATGTATTTCAGACAGAAAACAAATAATACGAAGAGCATGCAGTGCATGCATGTTAGGAATCATATATGTATAAGAAGAACAGCTGTGAAACCACCATTCTGTCCCTCAGAAATGTGAACATCCTCGTCATTTCTACGTGGGCCACTCTGACTCTCACTTCTCTCCCAGCAAGCAGCTCAGCTTACCTCCTAATAATTCCCTTTTTTGTACAGATATGGAATGCAATATGCATGGCACAGTACCATGTGTCATTCTACTTGTCAAATACATATAAATACACACATGCATGCATACAAACTTTTACAACGCTCGACCAATTCGTATATTCTGTCGATCGTTCCGTCTCTTTGCTTTCAAATTAAATTCTTAAATTTCTTTTCTAGAACTAACATATGATAGAGTTGATATATGTCTAGGATCACAACGAATGTCATTAGATCAATGATTTTGTATTAAGGTAGTCAGTTGAGGTTGTAAGGTATAAACACAATGATTGCTGTTGTAATTAATATATTGAATGAAATTCAGTTGAAACAAATATTTCCCCTCGATCTTTCTAGCTTTCTTTCTCTTGAATTTCGTTGTTTAGCTTTCTCTGTAAGAATTACATACAAATTATCAACATATACATGCATACATGCATACATACATACATACATACATATATATATATATATATATGCATTCCTTCCAAGTTTCCAACATGAACATGGAGATTATGGGATCGATCTACGTACGCATACAATATATGCTTCTCGATCCCTCGCTCCCTCCCCTCATAGAAATCGAATATTGTTATGTTATAGAAATATTAAATGCTAGGCTTGCTAGCTGCCACCTCCAGAATTTGTAGCTAGGTTTACTTTTTAAAATTGTTTATACATGATAATCCCGTTAATTGCAATGATTTCTTCAACTGACAGCAATTGACTCAAAGTTTAGCTAGCTTAATTAGAGCATCTTTAAAGGAGATGTCACAATGACCACATTAGTAATAACAGTAATAAAAAACAATGCAAATGTTTTCCAACCGATGTGCCAATTTCTATATGGCACATGGAATGGCAGCAAGAAAAGATACTGTCAGTCAAATTTGACAGTACCTTCAAATCTATTTTTAATTATTTAAATCAGGATTTGTTCTGTAGAAAGCCATGAGTCTTGACAATTTCTCCATCACCACTGCATATCAGCCAAAAAAGAAAACTAATCTTAAAGTACTAAAAACCATCAAACTGAAGATTGGATTACATCTTGCTGGAATGAGCTCCTAATCAAACAAGTTGAATCCCATATCATCATCACTCTCTTCCTTGGGTTCTTCCTTCTTCTATTATGCTGCAAGAGCAGCGGCAGCTGGGGCAGCCCCACCGACACTTGGAGCAACAACGGCAACAGCAGCACTGCGGCTGCAAAACCTCAACACTTTATCATTTTTATTATGGGTGGTAGAGAGGTGAGGGAGACGAGATCTGAGAATGATGGGTGGTAGAGAGATGCGCGGCTGCAAAACCTCAACACTATCGTCTAGGGTTTTAATCTATTTCTAGTTATGAATAAATACTTTTCTCCATTATTAATTATTTTTTTGTTTTAAAAATAATTATAAAAAATAAATAATAGTTTAAATTTGACATATCGGGTGGAGAACAAAATTTATAAAAATATTAGAATGCCACATCAGCCTTCAAATTTAAATTTTATGTTTAAAATTTGACATTTCCTTTAAAGATGGTCTTAGTTTCATATTTGAACTATTACTGAGTTTTTTTTTATCTTTTTTTTTTTTTTTTAAAAAGACATTTTATTAAAACAACTAATTATGAAGTATAAAGCATATTTGAGCTATTGCCGAGTTTAAAATTTGTATTTACATGAACTTTTATATGACAATCGAGATGGTAACTGTATTAAATAAATATAAATATTATAGCCAAATTGTATTTAAAGAGAGTGGCTACAATTCACATGAAAGATAATAATTGTATTAAAATACATTAAGTATTGTAATTAAATTTTTATTTAGAACCTTCTTACTCAATAGATGTAAATACAAAACATTATATTCCAAGCGGAATGTATAAGCTCAAAACAAATATTTCAACGAAACCAGTTAGCATTAATTTTTTATGGCTTAATTGTGCATTGCCAGGCATTTAAAAGTCATCAATGAAATATATAGTTTTTTGATATTTAAAAATTTAAAAACGTTACAACAAATTCATATATCTATGTGTGTGCGTGTGTGTATTAAACTTCGAGTATTTTATTAGACACTGTATAGATCAATCAAATCAGTTTGACGATAAAAAGTCATAATATATATGATTGTGGAAATGGTCCCAGAGTTCACATCAACTTTTATTTGTTTGGTATTTTAAGACTTTGACGTTCATTAACACGTGCATCATAACATGAATAAAATGGAAAATACGACTAGTGACTAACAACGAAATAAAAATACAGAAATGACGAATACACATTTTTTAAGCAATTTATACTCTTCTATTTAATTATCATTGTTGATTATTTTAACTTATCTAATTTACTGGCTAAAAAAAAGGTGTGAAAAATTAAGAAATGTGTTTAAAAATCACTTTCTTAGAATTAAATTTCACTTGGCATAGAAAGAGTCGTGAAAGACATAAAGATCTTTCGTATCAAGTCATATCATCATTTGTTCATCCGATGATTTAATTTAATAAAGACAACATAATGTGTATCAAAATATTCATTTATCAACATTTTTAGTCTTTTACACACTTATGTCTAATCCTGATCATTGAATTTGTTTGACTTGTTCAATTCAATAACTAGAATGAAAAATTTGGTATGTGAGGAACTAATAAATGTGTGTCAAAATCACTTCCTTAAATTAAAATTTCAACAGGGATGTGTGTGAGGAACTAATAAATGTGTGTTAAAATCACTTCCTTAAAATTAAATTTCAACAGGGAGGGAATATATTAGTGTATCTCCATCATCTATGAACTATGATCCATCTACATCCTCTATACATCCGATAATTTAATTTGATAAAAACAACACAAAGTATATCAAAATATCCAATTTATCAACTTTTTTAGTCTTTTACACACTCATGTTTAATCATGACCGTTAGTCCGTTACATTTGTTTAACTTATTCAATTCAATGGTTAGAAAGAAAGAAAGAAAAAAGTGTGGAAACTAATAAATGTGTGTGTAAATCACTTCTTTAAAAATAATTTCAACTTTTTTTTTTGTGGGGGGGGGGAAGAATAAGAGGGTTTCCCATCATCTATGAACTATGGTCTTATTCAATTCAATGGTTAGAAAGAAAGAAAAAAAAAAGTGTGGAAACTAATAAATGTGTGTGTGTAAATCACTTCTTTAAAAATAATTTCAACTTTTTTTTTTCTTTTTTTTTTTGGTTGTTTTGGGGGGGGGGGGGGAATAAGAGGGTTTCCCATCATCTATGAACTATGGTCCATCTTCGTTCTCTGTCCATCCAAAAATTTAATTTGATAAAGATAGCACAAAGTGTATCAAAATATTCAATTTATCAACATTTTTAGTTTTTTACACTTATGTTTAATCCTGACCGTTGAATTTGTTTAACTTATTCAATTCAATGACTAGAAAGAAAAAAAAGGGTGAGAGAAAAACTAATAAATATTTGTGAAAATAAATTCCAATGGGGAGGGAATATATTAGTGTATCCCCATCATCTATGAACTATGATTCATCTATGCCCTGTATCCATCCGATAATTTAATTTGATAAAGACAACACAAAGTATATCAAAATATCCAATTTATCAACTTTTTAGTCTTTTACACACTTGTGACAGCCCGTCCCGAATCATTTGTACCGTAGGTGTGAAGGGACAATTTTGCCCCTGGACGTTAATTAGCGTTGTGGGGTGTTTGGTTTGTTTTGTTTTTTGGTTGGGGGGCTGCCATTTAGACCACACACCCACACACATACACTCATGGACCTTTCTCTCTCCCTTCTCTTTCAGACTTTCTTCCATTTTCTTCCTCATCGTACGAATAACTTCCATTCAACCATTTCTGGCACGGATCGTGGTTATTGTTGGTGTTTTTGGATTCCTTGCAAGCCCAGGAACTCATCCATACCATTTTTAGGACGTGAGACCTTCAAAAAACCGAAAACCATGGAACCCTGATTTGGTGCACTGTTCATGGACACGTGATCGTGAGGTTTTTAGAAGTTTTTAAGGTTCTAGGAAGCTTTAGGACGTCTTCACGAAGCTTGGGGAGTAATTTTGAAGTGTTTTGGACATCAGAAAGCTCGAGTTCGTTTTAGTTGCAGGGTTGGTCGGATTATCGAGGTTTCACCGGCGAGATTCCGTTGGTTTTAGGTCCCCCAAAGTGGTAAGGTTTTGTTCTACTTGTTGTAAGCTTCATTTTGGTATAAATTTCATGGAATTTGGTTGAGAAATGAAAAAGATATTAAGGTTTGAAGTTTTTCCAGAAACCGGCGAAATTCGAGTTGCAGACGACGGTGCTGACGGAGGTGGACGACGACGACCGACGAGGCTCACCGAATAAGGAGGAGAATATTCCGTCAGCATTAACGGAATATTCTAACGGTATCAGGTAACAGTCGTTAACATCTGTTAGGGTTTTAACGAAATATTCCCTAACGCCGTTAGGGTTCCACACGTGTGCCAAGCACGTGCCCGTGCATGGCCGACATGTCTGGCCGTGCCTTGGCCGACACGTGGGAGGTCAGAAAATTATTTTAAAAATATGGGGATGTTCGTGAGGTTAAGTAGAGCTTGTTGGTATATTTAAACACCCCATTTGAGCAATGTGTGAGAAGTTATGATCTAAGGTTGGTTATGTGAGTTAAATTGACGGTTTTATAGTTGTTTCGCATATAGGTGAGGACTATCTGAAGGAGAGCGCAGCCACGCGAGGCTCGGGGCTTACGATCCTTCTACGTATCAGTGAGTGGGCTTTTGTTTTCAATATATATATATATATTGGTATCTTTCCAGAAATTACGTTTTAATGGTTTTATAATTGAAATGCTATGTTGAATATCATCGATTTTATAATTGTGATTGTGTTGATTATGCTTTGGTGCCGCGGACGCTCAGGTAAGTCAGGTGAGTGTGTTTTTAGTGATAGATATGGTGTTGATAAGATTGAGTTATAGCTTATATTCATGCACCTTGGTGATTGTGCTCTGCCAGAGTAGGGCCTAGCCTTCACGTGATCGTTCACCTCCCACACCGTACGCACACCTTGGATCCAAGGCAGGTGCCAGCCTGTCGTACAGACCACTATAAGTGGTTCCAACTCATAGGTGACCCGCGATACATCGCATAGCCTTCACGTGATCGTAGCACTAAGCGTATTTATATACACCAGTCTGTTGTACATACCACTTTAGGAGGTTCCGACTCGTGTGCAGGATAGTGGTTGAGGAGCTATAGTTTCAATCGTACAGGTCACTTTAGGTGACTACGGCTGACGTACTAATATTACTGGCATATTATGATTTGTTTTATCTCACCTGCTTGATGCTTATACTATTTGTTTGGATATTCTGACGCGGCATATTCTGGCATGGCATATCTGAGCTTTATCGTTTTTAGCATGATTTGATATACGAGTACGTATGGTATTTTCTCGAAAGTATACATGTATTACAAAGAGAGGTTATAACTTTTGAGAATGAAATGATTTTGAAAAGCTTTGTTTTTGCCCACTCACGTTTTCTATTTTGCGCCCCTCCAGGTTTTAGGTAGTGAGGACGTGGGCGACGAAAAAGGCATCGAGGTATTTCTGACAGAGCACCCTCCATGTAGGATTTTCTAGTTATCACTTGTGTAGTGTTTGTTTTTCTGGACTGCACCTAGGATACTTGAACTTCTGCTTTGCCTTTTTCCTTCCGTGTTTGTCACTAGCACTCACTGATTTTTTATTGTAAATTATTTTGTTGACTTTATTTTTCTCGTATTTTCACCATTTTACTTCCACATTGCGCACTTGGCTACGTCACCCTCACGTGACGGCTAGCACGCCCCGAATTTTGGATCGGGGTATGTCAACACTCATGTTTAATCATGACCGTTGCATTTGTTTAACTTATTCAATTCAATGGCTAGAAAGAAAAAAAAATATGATATTAGTGTATCCGATCATCTATGAACTATGATCCATCTACGTCCTATGTGCATCGATAAATTAATTTGATAAAGACAACACAAAGTATATCAAAATATCTAATCTATGAAATCCCACATCGACCAATGGAGAGGGGGTAATGTGCCTTATATATACATGCCCACCTCCCTATAGCACGAGGCCTTTTGGGAACTCATTGGCTTCGGATTTCATCGGAACTTTGAAGTTAAGCGAGTTTGGGCAAGAGCAATCCTAGGATGGATGACCCACTGGGAAGTTTTCGTCTGAGTTCTCAGAAACAAATCCATGAGGGAATGGTAAGCCTAAAGCGGACAATATCGTGCTACGACGGAGCCGGTCTAGGATGTGACATAATCCATCAAATTTTTTTAACCTTTTACACACTCATATTTAATCATGACCCTGGGGAGGGGGAATATATTATTGTATCCCATCATCTATGAACTATGGTCCATCTTCGTCCTATGTCCATCTGATAATTTAATTTGATAAAGATAGCACAAAGTGTATCAAAATATTCAATTTATCAACTTTTTTAGTCTTTTACACACTCATGTTTAATCCTAAGCGTTGAATTTGTTTAACTTATTCAATTAACTAACTATAAAGGAAAAAACGATGTGTGAGAAACTAATAAATGTGTGTGAAATCACTTCCTTATAAATAAATTTCAACGGGGAGGGAATATATTAGTGTATCCCCATCATCTATGAACTATGATCCATATACGTCCTCTATCCATCCGATAATTTAATTTAATAAACACAACATAAAGTATATCAAAATATCCAATTTATCAACTTTATTAGTCTTTTGCACACTCATGTTTAATCATGACCGTGTCATTTGTTTTACTTATTCAATTCAATGGCTAGAAAGAAAAAGAAAAAGTGTGAAAAAGTAATACATGTGTGTGTAAATCACTTTAAAAATAATTTCAACGTTTTTCGGGGAGGGGAGAATATTAGTGTATCCAATCATCTATGAAACTATGACCAATCTGTGTCTTCTGTGTATCCGATAATTTAATTTGATAAAAACTTCACAAAATATATCAAAATATCTAATCTATCAAAAAATTTTAGCCTTTTACACACTCATATTTAATCATAACCTTTCATTTTGTTTAACTTATCCAATTCAATGGCAGAAAGAAAAAAAAAAGGGTGTGAAAAACTAACAAATATGTGCGAAGATCACTTCCTTAAAAATAAATTTCAATTGGGGGGTTCCATCAATCTATGAACTATGATCCATTTACATTATCTATCTATCTGATAATTTAATTTGATAAAGACAACACAAAGTATATGATCTTAATTATGTTTAACTTATTCAATTCAATGGCTAAATAGAAAAAAAGTTGTGTGATCTATGAACTATATAATTCATCTACGTCCTCCATCCATCTGCTAATTTAATTTAATAAAGACAACCACAAAATATTTCAAAATATCTAATATATCAACTAGCTTTATGTGAAGGAGGGAGGAGGAGGAGGAGGAGGAGGAGGAGGAGGAGGGGGGGGGGTGGGGTGGAGGGGGTGGTGGGGGACGGGGTGGTATCCCTGTTGGCTGTATAATATACCCATCATTAATGAATGGTTGGGGGGGGTGGAAGATACCTTGAGCCTATCCCTGTTGGCTGTATAATATACCCATGATAGCTGTATGAATTTACGAGTACCTCATCCTCCCTTCATTTTATTATATATATTATTTTGAGTACAACGATATATTTTACATTGAGAGGAGGATCAGTCAAGTTACACAATGAGCAATCTAATTTGGTATTGAATTCAACATTCACGAGATTCAAATTTAAGACATTTCACTTACAAGTGAAAAGGAATAACATCATACCGTAATATTAATTGACTATAATATATATATATATATATATCGTGCATCCACTTCTAATATCATTGAAGTCTTTTTGTATAAAACTCAACACCTAAATGTATATGATTAACTTATGTGATTAAGCCAAGACAACATCGTTGGTTTTGGATATTACATCTGTCCTATAAAATTTATTATCAATATCCAAGTACAGATCCAGAAAGAAAATAGTCTTATTCCACAAAGATTTTGGCCATAAATATCGGAAAGGTTAAGGACTTACCTACACTTTTTGGGATGTCACTGTACTTGGGCTAATTGCAGATGCCATGTACGGAGCACCCAGCACTGTAACGTGCGCTTCTAACGAAACCGCCATTACACTAAACTAATTGGTTTCATAATTGAGGACAAATAAGGGACGGAAGATATCCTTCATTTGCTGAGGTTCAATTAAGGCCTTTTTTTAATCAGACGATAAAATTTTATTACATCAAAGACGAATAAATATGTTTACAATCTCAAAAAGAATATCAAATAAAAATTCAAGAAAAAGTAAACTCCATCCCGGCGCGCGAACAAACCCACTGAATAAGCCTCTCTGTTTCAACATCGAGGCACTTAGGAGAACTCGAGGGGCTCCATTTATATTGCATATATAATACTCCCAATCGTAATATCTGGCTCCTTCTCGTTCTTGAGCATCTGCATCAAACCACATGAGTCGATTGCATTATCACCTTCCTTACCCTACTCCAGTAAGTTGAACAGTGTTGAGTGAATGAAGTAGTAGTGACATCATTCTGTGATAATTGATTAATTAATAATCACAGTTTCCTTGGATGAATATACTAATTGATTCCAGAACCATGTCTTTTTCATTTGACATTGGAATTCATTAGGTAGCTCCTAGCTGCCTACCCATGTGATTGTAATAATTCATATGTTACTTGCGTTACAAGAGATAATTAAGCAGTCTTATATGATTGCGTATACCAATAATGTATACCATTTGTTAATCATATATAACTAAATAGACTAAGGAACGGTTCTGAAATTTCAGGAGCTTATGCGACAATTAAAGTGGGACCCTCTCACTACAAGACTCTTCTTTTGGTATGTAAATTTTTTCTTCTTCTTCTTCTGTATAGTACATTTATGAGTATAAAACTTAGTATGAAAGTCAGTTTTGTAACATATAATCGTCTACTGAACAATAGATACAGAAGAATTTAAAGGAAGGTATATGTTAAAAAAATGAAGGTTGAACCAAGAAAAAAGAAAGTGCATAAAAAGATAAGTATTCTTCAAAACAGAAATAATGATGTTAAACCCACCCACAAATCTTATTTCTCCACCCACTCTTTGATGAAAATTTTAGTGACAAATTTTCCCTGCATTAAAATGACATCTAAATCCTAAACAAAAATAATAAATAAAATAAAAACAAATCCGTCTTTATCAATCCATGTCTCTGCAAATATCTTCGCCTCTCTTTATTTTCTGTTCATTTAATTCTTCTAGTTTATTCATATATATTATCATTTATAACTTTAAATGGTGAAATTACATTTTGAGACATTGAAAAACCAAATGGAGAAGGAATTAGGAAGGGTGATGATGATAGAACCTTCATCAACTAGAGAGAATCAGTACACGCACACACAATATCTATATCATCTGTTAATTGCAACCTTACTGCAAAAGGAACAATAATGTTACAGGTGAGAATCAAATCAATACAAATATATCATTTGTTACAAATTATATTACTACGCATTACGTGCTCTAACTGGACGTAGGAGACTCACCAAGAAACTCTGATCTCAACCGCATTAAAAGCCTGCCCAGATAATTTAGCCCTTCTCCATCCCGACCTCCTCCCCAGAACAGATCATGCGGTGATGCTTCAACAAGAACACATCCAGCACTCGACAGCAACATTGCATTCAAATGTGGGTATATCGAGAACTTGCATTTTAGTGCCCTATACATCACTTCAATCTTTACACTTTCCCACTCACATCTTACCTGCATAGCACACAAGAAAAGTTTGAACCAACTTCAACATAAACCAAAAGCAATTGTCAACATGCCGAAATGTTAGATAATCCTGGTTTAACAAGCATTCATTCTCTTCAAGAAACTTAAGTCTCTACAAAGGATCCTCCTGTTCTAGACACAGAAATTTGCCGTGTCTTCTTTCAAAGTGTTAATATGATGACATGATGTCACTTATTACGATTGGGGCACAATATCATTTCAACATCTTCAGCAACACTGCACGCAGAAATCTTAGCTTCATGTAAAAGCTGTTAGTAACTTAAGATTTTTTATTTTATTTTATTGAGAAATTCTAAGAACCATAAAGGACCACAGCATGGCATGTCATGACTAGCATCACGTGTTAACACAATTGACCGACTGAAAATCCAATCAAATGCACAATGCACTATACCAAATCAGGACGCTTCCTCTGCATTGACCTTCCTATCCGTGCTGCCTCTTCCGGACTTCTGGCAGACTTGATATTTTCAACACAATCTTGTGCCACAGGATCATCCACCCCAACAAACTTTTGAGCCTACGCGTTAGTATTGTTCTGTGAGAATGACTACGTTTTGTAAGATTGAAACCAGATTCATACACAAAAGGAAATACCTGATAGTAATGCTCGACACTCAACCAAGTTGCATAATCACCACTGTCATTGGGCATCTTAATTTGGTGAGGCGAAAAATTTGAGAAAGCGCCGTAAGGGTCCCATGTTTTGTAAAAGAGTATAATCCTTGATTCATATGGAGTCACAGTTGGATCAATTTCAAATGTTTCATCAACTGATGGAATAACAGGGGTCACATCTGGTATGGGTTGAAGAAATCCACTAATAAGCATATCAGGTCCAATCTGTTGGTTCAAGTTCAGAAGTGAAAAATAAAAAGTCCAATCAAACGGTAGAACATAGATACAAGAACAAGAGAATACAGAGTCAGGATATGAGTAGAAAGAATTTATCTCTAGAAGAAGTATCAAAAATCCACACCAACCTGCTCATAGCAGACATCAACTAGGTCAAAGGCTTGTGTCATTTCAACCATCCCGAGTTCACCCACAGGGGACGGCGCATTCTTTCCACCAATAATTTTAGGAGCAACAAATGCGAACACCTGCAATGCATTGAATGTGGCAGAAGCAAAATCCCTGTTAACAAATCCAGTTTCAACAAAGGAAAAATCTGGGATCTCCAACATAAGCGGCGGTTAAGCTTATGTACCCCTCCAGCCTACAAGAAACTACAACTATGACAACATCCCTAACTCATCAGTTTTAAGCAGACGAGGAGAACATTGACAAGAGTTCATAGAAAGAAATACAAGCTGGAGAAAACATACCTTATGTATTACTCCGGATGAAATAGCAGCTGCAGCTAATGTCCCCCCACACTCCCACAAAAGTGAAAGATATCCACGATCATGGAAGTATTCCATTACTTCTTTGGGGTTTAGGATGTCAAACTCCACCACTTCAATTCCTTTTGATGCAAGATGTTTCTGGAAATGCCTTCTTGCACCCCTTTGTGTTGCAACTATAGTAGATACATCAGAGGTATCCCAAAGGTGTGCTTCCTCTGGGAGATCAAGAGTCTGTGACATTACAATCCGCATAGGCATATGTCCACCACCATGTCTTGCAGTTAGTCTTGGATCTGGTCCAAAAATAACATAGAACATAAGAAGTCAGAACTTCCTCCTATTAACACGAATAATCACAAAGTTGAGAAAATTATACTTACTGTCCTTGCGCACTGTATTTCCTCCTACAATGACTGCATCACTTCTACCCCGCAGTTCAAACACTCGATTTCTAGACGTTTTGCTGCTGATCCATGCTGCATGTCCGCTGCTAGCAGTAATTTTTCCTGTTAGCACCAAACAAATACTAATGACTAATCTATCCGAAGACTTGTTTAAATTCAAATTTTTAGGCCTCTTTACAGAATTGCATATTGTAATAAGTTACACTACTCCTAAAAGAAAGCTTACCATCAAGGGTCATGGCATACTTGAGAACGGAGAAGGGGACTCGAGAAGCAGCTCTACAAATTAACGGAGCATTGACAAGGAGGCATGATTTTCGTGCTTCCTGTTGGTGTTGGATCAATTATATGACATGTTAAACTCAAATGCTACGCATTTCACACAAAAGTTTTCGTCTTGCTTTGGTAAACCACACAGTAGTTATTTCAACTGGGGGCAGAAGATCCCTGCCTAATGCCTATACTACTCACCAAGGAATCGAAAAGAAGCATTTCGCTAAGATATGAAATGAGCATATTGAATTGATCAAATACCTCAATGAGTTTACTGTTGAGGTCCTCACCAAGAACATCAACTTGCAAGCCTTGACTTCTCAAAGCCCGAATGGCATTCCCTCTCAAATGCTGCAATGGATGCCTCAGCCCAATCACCACCCTTTCAATCCCTGCCTAATCCAAACAAATCAATATTCAATCATTGTTTTCTTTTCCCTTAGAAGACGACTCAAGAGGGAGTTGGAAATTGAAGGGAAGAGAAAAAGGCAAAACCTGAACGAGGGCGGAGACGGCAGAGTGGTCACCGTGGCAATCACCGGGCTCCATATTGAGATAAGCAGTGGCGCGGCGTGAGAAGTCGCCAGCTGCGTCGACGGCAAGGACCTCGGCGGGCTTGGTGCCCTGGGCGTAGAGGAATCCCTCGCCGGCGACTTTCCCGGATTTGGAGGCAATGACGCACCCAAAGTTTGGGTGGGGAGAGGTGAATCCGGCGGATCCGTCGGCCAGCTCGGCGGCGCGCTGGATGTGGGCGGCATCGAGCGCGTGGTTGCCGAGTAAATTGTTGTTACTAATACTGCTGTTGGGTGTGGCGCCGCCGCCGCTGCAGTAGACTCCTACTGGTGGCAAAGATAACGCCGCCATTGGAAGCATAGATAGATCATAGACGATACTCACCGTTCATTCTTCCACCGTCATGCTGTACGCAGCCGTAAGTAATAACGAACGAAATGAAGCTTAATTTTACCGCGATAAAAGAGAAATGTTATTGCTACTTAAAAAAAAAAAAAAAAAGAAATTTTAAATATAAAAAATTTAAACTCTAATAATAATTTTCTGATAAAATATAAAATAATTAAATTGGACCTGTTTATATTTATTTTCCTTTTTAAGAAAAATAATTGGGCCTATGATGGATATGTTTATAGGAAATTAGATTTGGCTCATTTAGAAATATCATAACAATGGAATAAACGGTCTCATAATAAGCTAGTAATAACGTGAATCAAATTCGCTATCAGCAAAAATCGAATTTAAGACCTCTCACTTACAAATGAAAATAAATCCTATTAAACCATAGTACTAATTGACACTAAGTTTTTGTCTTTTAACTCGCAATTTGCTGCAGGTACATAAATATACATCCTTCACGTGATCACATCGGTTTTTCGTTCTCTGATCTCCACACTTCTCTCCCGGATACATCAAGACAAGAAAAAAGTAAATATGCAGTCGAAAAAAAATAAATGTGGGAAAATCATCTTTCCTGACATTTAATTGTCAAACAGCATTAATCCATAGAATCAGTGAGCGAGCGAGCAATAAAACCAAAAGCATCAAACCACATATAATTATCAAAATGTGATGAACAAAATCGAATCAAATCTATTATGGCATCGTGTAACGAAATAAAAGCAAAAGCATTAAATTATTTATAATGTAGCATCCTCACGACATCGTCATCATCAACATTCAACAGGCACACCAAAGGGGCTTAAGCTTAATTAGGTTTTATAGAATATTTATGAGTTTGATTCTCTCGGAGAACAGATAGATTTGATAGGATAATAGAGGCAGGCAGTACAGGTCCGTCAGTTGAACAGAAGCAACAGCTTCAGCTGCATCTATTCCTCCTCTTCTGCCTCCTCCAGCCACTTCACGAATGGCTCCAGGGCCTTCACAAAAGTTTGCCTGCAAACATTCGTTTTCGTTATTTCAGTTACAAATAACACAAGAAACCCAATGTAAACAACAAACAAACGCATTGATTATCGAACTCTGATATTTTGAAGTTGAAACAAAAAGCATACCTGCCCTTGGGGTTTGTTCCTTTGCGGAACCAATGGACAATGGTGTCTTCTGCAAGCACATCCTGGTCATAGAGGGACCTCACAATATCAGGGAAAAGCTTCATCAGCTTAGCATCTTCATAGCACTGCATCTGAACCTTGTACATCAGTTCCAGCTCAAGCTTCCCATTCGTGCAAAAGGTATTCAACAGTTCCGCCCATGTTTTCACCTGCATATGTATTGTATATAAGTTAAACCATAGCCATTGATTTATGTGCACCAAGTACTATGGACTATGGTGTTTGCAACTAAATAACCGATTTCTGAAAACTACAGTGACCTAATATCTCACAGTAATCAATTTGGAGGATGGTGCGTAAAACTAGCACAGCCTTAGATCTACAAAGAACAAGCTTGGGAATATGAAAGAAACGAAACCAATAAGTTGAAATCTTAAACACAACAGATTGGAATGCTATATCTATACTACTCTAGGTAGAACAAAGTCATTCACTATCCTACATGAACATAAGAACCATTTCTTTCTTTGAACTACACGAACAAAAGATCTAAAAAATCTTAGTTCTGTTTTTATTTGTTTTAAAGTTTTACCAACTTAACTCGTCATGGTTAACTACTTAAACTCCTACATTGCTCCCTTTATGAGTGTGCCAAACCTGAACTTTAAAGCTAAAGGATGAACTCCAAAGTTTCCTATTAGATAAGCTAGAGTGTAGTTTTCCACTCTATCTTCAACTCTATATATATAACAAGGAGTGGAGCTGGAGAATCTCCCTCTCCTGCTAGGCTAACTACGGTTTCTTGTTTGAAATTCCAGGTCACAGAACACAGAAATTATCTAGGTATCATGCGATTATAAGACTAACGTATACCTGGCGAAGAGCTGCATTAGCATTCTGCTGCTGGTTCTTACCAGACCACTGCACAGCGTCCATAATGACATCCCACAGAATCCGCACAACTTCAACATCGGGCAATTTGGCATCTTTAACACGCTGCTTCACAGTCTCAATGACTTCAGACATATCGGTTTCCTCTGTTATCTGGGTTGTTAAAGCAGATTTCATTTCCTTGAGCTTCACTTCGAAAATTTTCTTCTCGTTGTACTCAACTAAGGCAACTAGCCCCTCCTTCCTGAAAATTGGTACAAATAAGCACCAAATTATGTGTCAGTTAACCAACTTTTTCATTTGGTTACAAGGTGTGAATATCACAAAATGAATGTTCAAGTTAACACAGAAAGATGAATCAACTGTAAAACAAAATCTGGCAACTAAAAAAATTGCAGTTGGCTAAACAAATCAGGGATTGCAGCTACTTCAGAATCTCAGTCATCCAAATTGTCTAAAGAAACTACAGGACATCAAAGCATCGACTATATCTTAAAAAACAAAAATGAGTCTTATCTCACAAGATGGTCCATAATAAAATTCTGTAACAGATCAAACTTACGTGAAATGCTCAGAGAAATTCTCTTCAGTTCTCTTTGCGGATGGGAAGAATTCCAAAAGATTGTCCTCCACTTTACCCCGCTTCAGAATGGAAATCAAATCATCAAGACTATTATCAATCAAATACTCCTTGAAAAACTCAGTAATGAACGATAGAACTAGCCCTTTGCCAACAAGATTATCCTTGAGCATTGGCTGGAACACCGTTTCCGGTGGAAGTCCTGACAGCTTCTGAGAGAATGCAAGTGCTGTGAAAATAGCCAGCTTCTTCCTTTCATTTTCCTCAAAAAGCTCCAACGATTGAAGGAATCGTCGCATAACATTTTCGAGATTCTTAATCAGAAATGGCCTCCGCCTCAAAATTTTTTGAAGGTATATAACCGATGGCAAGATGAGTTCACGCGTAGGCTCAGACTCTAATACAGAGTAAGGGTGGCGCTCCCCCTCATCAGGTTTTGTTGTTCCAGGTTGTGTACGGCCTCCAGTGAAAACAACCTACAGTAAATCCTCCAGTCAATTTTATACCACATCACAAACAACACATTATCTAAGGTAGCATCCAAAAGAAAAAATAAAGAGACAAAAAGTGTCTACAGTATTACGAAGCTTGCCTCAAAAAAGGTGTCACCGTATCTTGAGAAGTTAAGGTCTGAAGATTCAATGCTCTTGGCAATAAGTTCCTGCACAGAGCAGATTACTTGTTAGTTTTAACAGATAATTAAGTTATAAGTACGCACATGCATACAGATACAAATGATAAGATCATTTATGCATAGCTAAATGTTACCAGATCACCAGCATTATCCAGATAAATCTGGACCACTGCATCCGCAAAAGCTGCAGGGTCCAGCGGCGCTGCAATATTCCGTTTGCGGGTCTTAATCCGCGTGCCACTGTAATTACATTGCCAGCATAATCAATTTCATTTAATTGAGTAGAGGCTGATGCAACAACTCATTTTACCATCTTTACAAAAGGTCATAGGTTATAACTAATTAAAATTGATAAAAGTTCCCTTCTTTAACAAACCATATAGTTATCAGTTAGATAAACCTTGATTCTGAAACGTAAGAATAACATGAAAGCATATACGAAGAACACAGAGGGTAAATCTGATGAGACAAAATATGACGAAGACTTACCCGAGAGTGGGTCTCTCCTTCGAGCTGCAGGTACAAAAAGACAGAAAATTTCAATTAGTATACATTTAACGATTATTTAGCTATAAATTTCTAACCTTCACAACCCAGATAAATTTATTAAGAAGACCAATTGTGAAGACCTTTCAAAAACCCAACACGAAAAGTTTCAGTTTTCCCTGACCCCTACCCAAGCAAAAGGAAAAGATTTACAATTTCACTACAATTCACATCCTAATTCAAATTCACACCACAAGAAACTGGATCAAAACGAAAAAGAAACAGAAATACAAGAAATACATCTCTAATTTGGATTAATTCCAGAAAGACCCACATAATAATAAAGTAAATGTAACAAAGAAAGAGCAACAAAAAAGATTGAGCAAAACCCTCCAAGAAATTCCTACCTAAACAAAGAATCCAATCAAAGAAACAAACACGAAAAATCCGATTTTTAGGTAAATAACCAGATCTGTGACCTAAAACATACAAACTTTTCAATAAGATTTTAACCTAAAACGCAGAGATCAAACAGTAGAAATAGAACGGAAAGATCGATAGAGAGAGATGAAGAGAGAGAAGGTACCTCATAAACCAAGACGAAGATGGATCGGAGGGCAGTGAGGTCTCTGAGCGTCGAGAGCTTTTTTCGAAGAGAGAGGCGAGAGGGAGGGGGAAAGAGGTATGGGAAGAGGGGTGATGCGGGTTTGGTCCTTGGACACTAATATTTAAAGGGATAGAGATGAACAAAAAACAAAAACCAAAAACAAAAACCAAAAACAAAAACCAAAGTAGTTTCAACTACAAGGCGACTTGAGGTTAACAACTTACAAGGTACAAACTAATTTATCAGCCATTTTAGTGGTGTTCTTTTTTACTTAAAAATGAGAAGTTTTAAATTTGAATCTTAGTGGTGAATTTAATATCAAATTAAGCTGCCTATTGTGTTGCTTAACCAAACTTTTCTTCCCTTTAGTGTAAAAATATCGAAATACTAAAAAAAACCAATTTATCTAGAGAAGTTAATCTAGATATACTCTTTTAAGTCGATATTTTTTATGGGCTAATTTAACATAATTTTTGTGCTTATATTATAAAGTATTGTGCAAAAGTATAAAGTGATAGGAATTCATAAAGGAATTTCATTTTTTAGAGTCTCTTTAACATGGAATATTCCGTGATCATGACCGTTCATCATACATCGTGCGGTTAGAAATCATTTTAAAATTTAAAATTAAATATAAATAATACCTAACGAAAACTGATTGCACTATATACGATGAACGATCACGATCACAGAATCTGGCAAGAATCTTTTTCCCCTTAACATTTCTCATTTCTCAATTAACTGTGTTCTTTTAAAACTATTTTTCTCGTTACATGTTCTATTCACATACAAATTAAAATGGTATTATTTGTAAAGAGTTCAACATTATACTATGACTATTGTAGCTTTGTGTAACGAGTATTTCATAATTATTACAATTCATCGAGGGAAGTGAATTTTCACATCTTTAGTTTAACATCTCGCACTTTTTTATGATTATTGGATTAAATGAGTTAAACGAAATCAACGATCATGATTAAATATAACTGTGTAAAAAGTTAACAAGGATGTTCATTGACATGTAAGTTATTAATTACTGAGTAGGTCAAATGGCAATTTTGTTTTGTTTTATTTTGTTTTTTCATCGACCCTATGCTACTAGTTGTGTGGTTTAACCTTCCAAGTTAAAAAGACGTCCTTTCGATCACATTACAAGTAAATAATATTGTAAATCTAGTCTGTTTTCAAGTATAGTGATGTTTTGGAAGAGAGAATTAAAGCAATACTCTTGTTCGAGTAGTTTAACTCTTAGTTTTATCTTCATTTTGATGAAAATTTTACAACAAATCAACGTATATAATATACTTTTAGATCAGCTGGTTGGATTAGTGTGATGAGACTTTAATTCCATTCAAATAACAGTGCATCTCATACACGAGTATACTGTGGAATAACCCCATTTGTAATAAAGAAAATAATAGAATTGATCAAAATTTTGGTTGAGAAAATCATTGGCTTGTAGTTGTAGGTTAGCTTCTTTGTGCAAACAAAGCATTTGTGGTATGAAATCTGACATCAGATTCTGCCTTACAAATGAAACACGGCAGTGCAGTACAGTTGAGCACAGCAAAAGGCCAAAAGGCCCTTTGAATTTTGACCACCGCCCCTATCTTTTTCTATCCTTTTTCTCATCCTTTTAACCCTGCCACAATTCGACATCATCAATGATTCAACCTTTTCTTTCAAGGTTGGTAAAATCATCATGCTTACAAATGTTCTGCTGTGCTCCGGAATATCTTACATCTTAAACTTTTAACCGATAGATATTTGATTATTGTAGTTTTAACTAAGGATTTGAAAGTTTAAAATTTTTCATTTTTAATGATGTTCCTTTTCACTTACAAGAGAGAGGTCTTAGGTTCGATTCTCGTAAAAAAAAATTCGAACCACATTTACACATTGTGAGAGTTAACTCATTTCCCTACCCCTTAGTGCATATTATATGGTTTGTTAAAAAAAAAAAATTAAAAACTTAAAATATACTAGAAAAAATCCGTCATGTGAAACATGACATGGAAGAATGGGACGGCAAGGGGGAAAACAAAAGCCCTTAATCCGGGGCGATATGAAGGGTAATGCATTTATAAAGGAATGAGGTTACCGAGCTATGCGATCGGATCACCTGCGGCTATCAGTCTGTTGCTTCCTCCTAAAATCACGACAGGGTTAAGCTTAAACACCCACTTAATTAGTCATTAATCTATCCTATTAGGGTAAGGCTAATCCCATCCTTGTTTTCTGGAAGGTAGAAGCAGTCCGGTTGGTTCCATATGCAACATATAACTTTCCTAATCCTAAGAAAGCGATAGCAAAATGAGCACATACCCAAAACCGTTTGAGTTTTGCCTCGCGACGTTTGCATAATGACCAGAATTTCCAAAGTGACAAATGAAATATAAATCTACTACTATCATGCATTACCATTCTATATTACCATGCCATGAGGAGAAGGGCAGGGAACAATGTGAGGTAATGAATCAAAACTACAGTGTATGAAACCGCATTATGATACTCGATGTTAATTTCTAATTGACACAAACCAATCAAGAATTATGCTGGAATCTACCCAACAGTTTGGTTGAGTTGTACAATTCGATTTCCGAAAGTTAACAACCAATTTGACAGAAAACTTTGGTCCCGGGGAGAAGACAACCTTTTTCTTCTACATGATCATGTTGTAGTACCCTGACTTCATTTTAGAGCACAAGTAAAGGAGAAGTGAAGAATATACACAAGTATCTATATGTGAGCAGCAGTCAACTCACAGTTCAATTAAGAGCCACAATTAACCATGAGATGGTACAGCAAAATGGAAACTCCGAGCACCAAACATTCGACTGCTACACTAAACATTTCCTTTTTACTCATTGACTTAGTACTGGTTTGGTACTGAGTACTGAGGTGCTTTTATAAAAAGTGGGTCAAAAAAAGCTGAGCTCAAAAAGGTGTTTGGTAAACAATGAAAAACAGCTTATTTTCACAGTTTTTGGTAAAAAAAAGCTCAAAACGTGATGCAGCAGAAATGAGCTTATTCTCACAGCGCAGCAAAAGCAGTTTTTATTTCAAAGCACAGCAATACCAACCAGCACTGAGACATATAATCGACAAGAAATTCACACAGAAACAAACAATGATAGGTTTTCTCAAATTTCCAAGGTGGGATTCTTATTTTCTTCAACGTTAGGACCTTAAAACACCGCGAATTCTTCTAATTCTAGTACGAGCTCAAACTTTAGCCTTAACATTTCACCTTATCGTAAGTTCTTATTAGCAACAATAATCTAAATTTCTTGTTAAAGCATCCCAGAACAACAGTGAAATCAACCCCCACTTCTTGTATATCAGTAAATTCAAATTATTCGTACTAGTAGTAATTTACTACTGCAGTCAAATCTTCAAAAATTGGGTCAAAAAGTTACCAGTGAGGACATTCATCAAACACATTGCGTACCGATTTCTCCAAACACAAAACATGAACATCCAATCCAAGCCGAGGAAATTAACAAAAACAATACATACAAAACTGGGGTACTTGTATTGGTGTCGAGCAAACCTACGGTTTCTCTTCTCGAATCAGTTCACTGGACAGAGTCGAACTGTCCGCCATCATTGTCTCCGTGTCGTGTTGCTGCGGCTGCGGCTGATGCTCGGTGTTGGTAAGAGTTTCCAAGTCCCTCATCCTTGTCCTCACCACACTGGTAACAAGTACTGCAACAACAACAAAAACACACCCAATTATGTAAAAATGTGAGATTGTAGAGAGAGAGAGAGAGAGAGAGAGTACCGGCGGCGGTTCCAAGCGTCCAGACCCAGAGGATCTTCAAGCCGGGACTCAACTCTCTTCGCATATTACTCTATTTCTGCTTTGTTTCCTGCATTTGGTGAGTGTGTGTTGTGATCTCTCGGAATCTCTTCGAGTGATGAACTTTGCCGAATGCTCGACCCGTGAGGTTTGGTCTGCAGGGTCGGGTTTTATATTTGAGTCGGGGTTTTTGTGGAGACAAATTGCAGGGCCCAACTCTCGTGTTTTGGGTTAGGGAAAGCCTAAGGACCCTTAAACTGGGAGCCAATAGGCCCTCTTCGCGTCCTCATGGATCTGTTACACATTTTGACCCGTAAATTATTAACCGACAATAACACGAAGGGAATTGTTATTAACATTTTAAAATTTTCATTCTGTAATCTAAATTTTGAATAAATAATACATTTGTGAGAAGTTTATAATAAAAATTTTGCAGTACCAATATAATTCCCTTATAGAAATTAAAATTATTAATTTAATGATATTTTTTGGTCATTGTACCTAACAGATACAAAACAAGATTCATCCTGGGTCTTTATGTCTAGAGCTCGTAGATCGAGAGATCCGGATCATTTAAGAAAAAAAAAAAGATGTTCGTGTCATTCAAGTTTTTGAGTTTTGTAAAGTGATCCAATGGGATGAGCTAAAAAGGGACATTTAATTGAAATTAAATGGTCCAAATCTCTCGATCAATGGGCTCCAAATATAAAAATCCAAAGTGAATCTCAATCCAAATACTATTGAGTCTTGCTTACATTTAGGTTCATAAATATGATGTGACACCTATAAAAAGAAGCTAAAGTTCGTTGTTTTGGGGAGATTTTCTCCTTGCAAATGACTATGAAACCAACATATACAATTTATATTTTCTTAGGAGTTTTGACATCGTACCACTCAATGACAACTTGATTTTTTTCGTAAAGAAAAATATTGAGATTTATTGTATTTTAATGTTGTTTTTTTATATTTGAAATAAAAAGAAAACAAGTTGAAGAATCACATCTGTTAGACTAACTTTATATATTCTTGATTTTGTTGGTTCTCAACATTTCCCCCCACAAAACAGCGTTGTAATTTGTAATGTCCAAATGAAAATGCAAACAAATTTGGTGCATTTGACATAGGCCGGGATGACAAAGTTGACTAAGCCACAGCAGGTTGGCTCATTTGACTTCTTGCATTACACCATACTTAGGTCATCTCCAACCATCCTGTCCAAAGGATCATAGGGCTTAAAATAGCTTGGAATGACACGAAAATCGTCTCTAACCGAGGGCTAGGCCAAAGGGTTTATGGGCCCCACCGGGTCCAAACCCCCAAATCAGGCTAGCAAGTTAACCATTTCTAGCCCTCCAACGCCAGAATGTCAAGCTTAATATTTTGTCAGCCCTCCAGCTTACCCCCATTTGAATGCCAACAGCCTAGTGTCATGCTGTCGTCAGGTTACCGTTGAAATTTCAGTTTTTTTTTTGTTGGACGTATTTTATTTTTTTAAAAATTCTAACTTTTTTTTTTCCTATAAATACCTACAACATTGAAAGCTGAAGATAAAAAATACCACATAGATAAGAATTCTATATAAAATTTGCACAACCAATTACATCTTGACACATGACACTCGAAATCCTATCCGAAAAATTATTAAGATTACATAAAGACAAGAAATCTGGAGAGTTACTTACTTTAGCGACACGTGTTACTCGAAATCATATCCGAAAAATTTATTGAAATTACATAAAGATAAGAAATCTGGAGAAATACTCACGTTAGCGACACGTGTCATTCGAAATCCTATCCAAAAAATTATTGAGATTATATAAAAATAAGAAAGATGGAGGCTTATTCATTTGGCAACACGTGACACTCAAAATATGTCCGAAAACCTTATTTTAATATGATAGTTTAATTTAATTAATCATATTAATTTAATTCAAATAATAAATTATGTTTGGTCTATGATCCTTTGGCCCCGTCGGTTGGAGATGTTTTTTGTCAAATGGCTATGTTTGGCCTCCTCGGTTGGAGATTGTATAAAATATGGTCTAGCACTGTTCATTAAAATATAATTTCTTGTATAGCTAATAAGGCTAAAGGGAGCCCTTTGGGCCTCATTCGATTGGAGATGGCCTTAGGGCCCTTCAACAAACTAAAATCCAACCCCTAATTTTTGTATGTATATAGCACGCCCATATGCTGCATATATGCAAAATATAAGAAACAATATATGTGATGTTTTAAACATATGGGCGTGCTAGGCGGCGCCTAGGTGGGTGAGGCGGCCCTAAGCAGGCTAGGCGCTAGGCGGGCAAGGCGGCCCTAGGCAGCTAGGAGGCTAGGAGGTTTTTTTTTTTTTTTTTTTTTTTTTTTTTTTTTTAAATAATCCTATCTACATTACTATATTTCCTTATTTTCCTCCTATTTTGAATTGTGTGTGGTTTAAAATTGAGCACTTGTTGTACATGTGTCATCCTACAATACTCCTCACTATGGTTCTATGACATATATGCTTAATGTGTTTTTAAATTTTGGACTTGTTGGATACTCTTTTTGCATTTTATTATTTTTGATTATCTTATCCATGAATTTCATACAAGTTTAATTTTTTGTAAGTGTCAATATGCACTTATTTACAAGATATACAAGAAATTTACCTAAATCTGCCTAGACCCCACCTAGCCGCCTAGGCGCTAGGCGCCAGCCCGTCGTCTGACTAGCGCGTAGCGTTTTTTAGAACCTTGGTTTTAAGAAACACTGAAATTTCATCGTGACAATTAAATAGGCAAATGATTTCGGATTGAATTTAATTTTGCATAGATGATCTATAAATCAAAACTTACAAAATAAACAGTTTGGTTCGTTCAAATTCGATGTTAAATAAGTCATTCCTTAAAATGGCCTAATATATAATAAACTTACGGGAATGCACCAAAATATAAGAAACTAAATCAATCGAAGAATCTCTAGAAAAAAAATTGTGTGTTGGTGTTGGGATCGTGGTATTTGTGTGATAGATTTACGAAAATATAGATTCTTGTCTATTTTAGTGTTTGAATGTACATACCCTTTCTTAGTTTGAGAGTTATACTATAAAACACATTAAACTTGACATAAGAAGCACTATCCTATGGATCAATCCTTCAAGATTCTCCATTTTGTGTGAAACGAAATGTGAACAACACGATGAGCCCACATAACCATGCCCTCGTCAGTCTCACCCACCACCTTATTTTATTTGTTAATTTTTTATTTTTTGAACAAATAATATTATGAAGAGGGTAAGCCAAGCTTCACAATGAGCTATCAATAATATAGTTCAAATTCGTTATTTGTAATTAATTTATGTTTCTTTTGTTTGCTATTAATTTGGCTTTGGTAACTTATTATATTATATATATATATATATAGGCTTTTTATATTAGCACCCCACAAAATGTTAATGCACCACATATTAAAATTTAATATTAAATGACTGATTTACCCTACTATGCAATAACAATTTTGACCTTATTAGGTTAAAAAAAATAAAAATTCTATATACACCCCAAATCACTTTTAACGTATTAGTTATCAACTATCAAAATCTCTCCGACCCTCCATTGTTGAATAAAACCCTAACCAATGAAACTACAAACATGTTGATTGAGAAAATTTATTTTTGACGAATGAAACATGAAATCAATGTTTTGGAAGCTTCACATGAGGTAAGGCTTCATATTTTTTATTGTTTTAGTGGTTTTGACGACATCGATAATTATTTAATCTTACTTTTGATGTGTTATTCAAGCTTTTATGTTTGTATTCATCTTTTATGGATCATAGGGATTACATGAAGAATTAAACACTAAAATTACCACCAAACATTAAAAACAAACGACATGAGTTTTAATGGTGGAATTGAAAACAACCCACATATGCTTTAAATCCCAGGCGACACCTTGTCAAAATTCCAGTCGACATTTTTTGTCCAAATTAAAAGCTTTATAAGATTTGAGCAATGTGGGGTGTATAGAAAATACAAGGTGCATGTAGAAAATGTAAGATGTATATTAAGAATGTGAGGGTGTGAGGGTATTATGGAGAAGTATATGGGGTGTATTAAGATAATTTTTAATTGAAAAAGCAAATGTAAGGTGTATTAAATATATGAGATTTATCCAACAATTTGTAAGATGATAATATAATAAGCCATATATATATATATTGTTTTAAGTTAAGTAGTATGGTACAGACGAATATAGGAGAGCTAAACAAGAAATAATAGTTTGATGATGAAGAAGTGCATCTGTCAATGACTGGTTGGCTGCCTTAATTGGCTGGTCAATCTTGGCCAACTCCATCATATCACATAAACCAACAACTTACACGGCAAATTAGCAATAGCATACTTTTGACTTTATTAGTTTAGCACGTTTTTCATATTAATCAAAATTTCCATATCTTTTTGGCGTTGTAAGTGTATATCATGTTTGTTTCCTGCTCAAAATTGTTGGACTATTACAATTGTTACTTCGGTAGATATTTCAAATTTACAACAAAAAGACTCACACTAATCGCTTTTAAATCTCATATTCTATAACAAAAATGCACAAAGTGATAACAAGAACCAAATATTTATTGGAGTCATGAATCTTATTAATTTTAATTGAGAATCTAGCATAAGGATTTATTTGTTGTTGATAAAATAAAAGTTTAATTAGAAATTTTTATTACCAAATCTCTTCCTACCATGTGTGGATCGAATAATAATGGTCGGTAAAGGGCAATGATTTGCACAATTAAATTTGATATAAAACGTGTACCAAAATTAGATTACAGCGGAGACTGACTTGGTTCTATATATTCACTGCTCCATTCCAATGAGCCTCTCCACTACTCGCCTTCCCCAAACTCTCTCCTTCCTTCCCAAATCTCATCCTCCTCTCTTCTCATCCCCTGCCACTCCAACCTATCTCTTCTCCAAGCCCTCCGCCTTCCCCTCTCTCTCCGCCCGGCTATCTCTGTCTTTTCACAGTTCCACCATGGGCGACGCTCCTGACGCTGGCATGGACGCCGTCCAGCGCCGCCTCATGTTCGAAGACGAGTAAGTCCCTTCCCCCCACTTTGCCCCTGACTTATGCTCCTATTCGCGCTTTTACCGTTTTCTTTCTTTTGTTTGGTTGTCTTGGTTGATCTGTTTGTAATTTGCTCTGTTTTTTCTGCTCAGGAAATACCGGAACAGTAAATAAAATGAAAGTCATGGGCTTTTT